GTCTTCGAGTAGATGAGTGGCTGCCGAGGATTTCTGATTTCTTTCAAAATAACCAGTCACTTTTCCGTTCTGCAAGTCCACTTTTTTGAACATTGCGTCACTTCGTTGATCGGTCTTTCTATCTTGACACGTCGACTTCAGGTCTCTCTCCTACCATGATTATCGGGAAATCCATCACTATTGTATTTGGTCTGCTCCTACTGTGCTTCCAATACGGTAAAAATCGAGTATACTGCGGTGTAAAGACTCGGTCTTTAGCTCCGAATATTACTCGCAACCGTGTTGGTCCAGCTCGCCTGGAGCTCCCCGCATTATATTCAAGCCTACTACATCTGTGTCACGAGCGTCTGGTACTTCTTTCTATTCGTGTTAGTGAGAGATAGAGTTATGGCGCTCGCTCTCTGTAGTCACGGATGTAACGCTGTTGCAGACCGAGCAGGTTTTGTCTTTTCCCATCTGATTTCGTTAATGATTACTTCATCGATATTTTGTTGGGTTGTAAGAGGTCCTTGATAAACAGCACCAAGAGAGAATTCCATCATAGTCAGTTTCTGAGACCGCATATCCTCCAGAGCCACTGATGTGCTCATTATAAGTGCTGCCATTTTGGAGCATCTGCGTGAACTTCTAATATAAGTCCCCGCCGTGATGGGTCGTTACCTAGTGTGCTGCTCTCTTTCCAGTTCATCCAATCTCTCCTTGGTTGTCGAGATCAAAGCGTCCAGCTGGGAATAGCAGGCTTGAAGGTCGGAGACGAACACAGCATCAACTACTTCGGCCGCGGTAGAATGCTGACCGCAAATTCAATCATTCAAGATTTGCCAGACTGACGCTAAGAAGAGCTCATGGCGAATTTACACGAGTCAATCACAAGGAGGATATTTCGAGAGTAACAAATGATCCCACCTCGCCCCATCTTGCCCTGCAGTCGATCTGCTCTATCTCGGCCACCAAATGCTCATAGAGCTTCTGGCCTACATCTCCGATATGTTTCCGTATCATGTCCATAGCTTCCCTCTGTGTGGCATAGTTCTAAAAACACTCTGAATAATCGAAATCTTTGATCACAACGTTCAAGAGAATTTCCAGTATTGGAAATTCCAATTTGGAATTCAGTTATGCTTCGCACCTTCCTCAAAATCTCATCAACGTGCTACAAATAACTCTACTTTGGCGGCTCCAGCACTGAGTTCATCGAGTGAGGCCAGCGCTGCCTGCGCTCCGTCGCTAGTCAGCTCGCCAACTGTTGAGTCTCGGATCTGTTACAATACGTGATGTTACTACTGCTCATAGCAGTTTGGCATAGTCTGGTTAAGCCTATTGGCATCAAACTTTGAATCAACAACAACAACGACAAAAACAACAACGACGAAAACAACAACAACGAAAACAACAACAACAACAACGAAAACAACAACAACAACGAGCATAACGAGAAAACAACGAAAACAACGAAAACAACAACAACAACAACAACAACATCAACAACAACAACAACAAGAACAACAACAAGAACAACAACAAGAACAACAAGAACAAGAACAACAACGAGCACAACGAGAATAACAACGAAAGCAACAACAACGAAAGCAACAACAACATCAACAACAACAACAACAACAACAACAACAACAACAACGAGAACAACAACGAGAACAACAACGAAAACAACGCTACCTCCACAAGAGTCTCAAGTCGACGAGTCAACACGTCCGCTTGACTCTCCTTGAGGGACTCAAAAACCTGTCGGTTGCATTCATTTGAAACCGATAAACAGAGTATTCACTGTAACGAGCTCAGGTGGGTCCTGGAACTCAGAACTTCGGAGCCTCTTCAAAGCCCTGTGCATAGCTTGATCGTGGCGGCTCATGCGCCATCGGTGCCGACCGCGCTCCCTGATGATTAGGACGACACCGTTACTGAAGATCAGCCGAGCGGCACACACCATCTCTCTACGAGGGAGATCCTCTCGTCATTGCACTTGAGTATGCGAAGGTTGTGCAACAAATCGACGTGTTCTCTTCTGTTGTCAGCGAGGATAGCATTCGCCTCAGTGGCTAAATCGGCGATGATCCTGCACAGATACTGAATCATCTTCTACTAATGGATTAACGCATTCTAGATAGAGGCACTGACTCACCGCTGCACACTGCCTTCATCAGCATGAGCAGCCAATAGAAGCTCCTCTGTCAAGGATCTCAAACGTTTATCTATCCTATCTTTGCGTAAAGTAACCTCAATATCCTGAAGAAACACGAGCACCAGTCCTATCCTGAGAGTGTTTTGTTTATTATTTGTCCCCGAATCATTAGCTGATTGTCGATGGCCATTCGAGGGACAATGAAATCCATAATACGTGATATCACGAACCCAGCGTGCATGAATATATAGAGTCTATAGACTCGATTTTAGTATAGACGAGTTCTTCAGGAGAGCTCCCTTGTCTGTGACAGCTTAAGTCTAAGGCATTGGCGTTCTCAGATATGACTCAGTACCAGCAGAACTCCCACGTTATCAGTCAGACCTCACCTCAAGACGCTGTGCAAAGTCATCGATCAGTTTCCTCCGGCCTGCGATAGTGGATTCAATGATCTCCAATACTCCATCAATCCACTCAACGCTTTTAGAGTCTACATGAACTCATTTTCCGACTTCTGAACTTATTTTGAAAGGAGCACTCATTATCGCCTCCCCCGCGTGATCCGTCTCTTCAAATTCCATCACACATAGTAAAGCCGAAATTTCGTGATCCTGCTTTCCCATACAAGCCTTGAGATCCTCCGACACGAGCTGCACCTGGGAAGAAGAAACGAAGCGCACAACTCGTGGACAGATCGAAGCATCCGTTGAATTACTTCAGCAGCGCATTCGTCCGCTACGACAGCAAAGAACTCCTTGTAATGATCCAAAGCTTTGTCGTGATGAGCCTTCCGCCTGAACAACACAAGGGTTGGCTGTCAAATCACTCATGCCAAGTCGATATGTCAGAAAGTGTAGTCGAGAAGAAACAAAATGCCCCCATTAGTGAGCTCAGGTCATGATGGATGAACTGCTCTTGCGCACCTTGCAGTGAACTCTTCACGTCTTTTCATCCGCTTATTATAAGCTTCTATTGTTTCCTGAACCAAGGCAACCCGTATGCATCCACCCTCGCATCCGCCGACCCTGTACGTCAGTCGGGATGGGCGAATCCACCAGACCTTTGACCATCTGTCTCTCCTCCTGAATTTCGAGTAAATGCTCAGAAGAGAGCTTGTCGGTCTGAAGGCAAGGCATTGCTCTGAGCATAATATGCGCTAAAAGCATCTATTCTCGTGCTACTCTTCTCGCTTCATCGACCCTCTGTTGTTGCAGACGAGAGAATTCCTGACAATCGGAGCAGTTGAGGATTACGCCTTATCAAGGCGTAAGGCAATTGAACCGTTGCACGCTGTTATCAGAGGGCTCAAGGGCAAAGGTCAAAGATCACCTTGATGTCTTGTCCGGTCTGGAATCCCCTAGTCGGGTTCACCGATTGCCTGTGTCTATGTCCGTTCGGCGAGCCAGTCATAATGGGAGTAGATGAAAACACTTCGAAGATTCCGTCGAGAGTCGAACTGGGTTCAGCGTCTTGAGTGCTAACCGATATAGGATAGAACCACACAAAAACATAGTCTCTACTGTTTCGATGAGTACTACCCCATAAAATGACCAGCAGCATTTAAGAACAACACATGGCACAGTCCAGCAAGTTGGAAAGTAAAAAACGGTCTCACGCTAGGGAGGATCGTTCGCCACCAATCGAGAGTTCTCATCCGATAAACCAAGCCGAATTCCATGTACCTGGATCCTGTGTGGATATATTCGGCCCAACTTTCACAGCTCCTCTGTTGGGACTTCGCCATTCTCGACATCAGACCCGATCTGGCAATCAGCTCCGCTGTTGTCAGGGGCTGTTTCCGGACTGCACAGTACCAGCCCTATGGCCGGCCTAACCTTTCTCGATACGGACAGCTCAGCGTACAGTGGTAGGTACTCACATAGTATTTATAGTAAGTGATTCACCGGAGGCGTCTCCATTGGCAGTGGGCAAGTGCGTGTCAGGTGGTGGAATATCAAGATGCTTCTGACGCGGCATCCGGTACAGCACGGAAGCTTTTAGACGTGACCCGAACAATTTCTGCATCCACGACGGCGGATGAATCTGTACTTGGTCGGAGAAGCATCCTCTTGGAAAGAGCAGCGTTGTCCCCATAGGAATCATAAGTCGACGTGGAGATAGAGAGTGAGAGTGATGACATAGATAGCCAGGAATACAATGGCGCAAAATAATATCGTTAGGCGTTGCGCTTCATTGTTATTCATCCGATTGTCTATACTCGAGTCGGTGAAGCGAAATAGAGCATCGAGTGACTCAACGCATCACAAATCCAGTAAGAAACACAACGCGGATGGTAAACGTGTCGAGTAAGTGCTTCAAACGTGTAGCCAAGCAGGTCTTGAGTCGGGCTCTTTGTGGTCTGTCGTGCTCGAAGGGAACGCTGAGATTTTTCTGCCGCTACCGGCACCTATTCCTCTCTCAGCAAGACGAGACTTCTCCGGCCGGGGCAGCTATGCCGCCACCAGATACGCCTCCGTACGATCAATTACTCCGCGCGGGGCAGCTATGCCATCTTGAGATATACCCTAGTACAATAAAATATGCCCTAGTACAATAAACTTATCCGGAAGAGGCAGCTATGCCACACCAAGATATGCTTCAGTACGACAAATTTCTCTGGTCGGGGCAGCTATGCCACCCCTCGGGGTGGCATCGCGATATGCCCTCCCAGGGTATGGTGCCTTTGACATCCCTAGCACAATCATCCGCTGAAGCGCCAGGCAAAACGATATCATTTGTCGGCGATATTGATCGCAGATCTCCGGAGAATGCAGAAGTCAACTTCGCTGCCACCAGCGTCAACTCCACTTGAGGGGAGAGATACCGGCAAAGGATTCACAGCGGAACCCGTTGTGCCTTAACATTCCTGAACGGGTGTTGAGGCTGACATGCATGTCTCGGTGACAGTGTGGATAGATGGCCGTGCATGCGGGGTACGTTCGGTGGAGCATGAGGCTAGAAGGGACACGGCCACAAAGAAGTTCTGATTTCTTCAGATTCAGGATTTCATTGAGCCCGCATACCCGGTATGCCATACCATCAGTGGTGAGGAATTTCACTTCCGTATCAGTTCGGATCAGCATTCATTCTTGTTCTCCTTATGTTCTCTTTCTTAACGCATTACTCTGTCTGGTAGACAGTGTATATCTCTTCGTGAACCACTCCTAAACGTTTTCCTGAACCGTAATTGGAGAGGTTTATCTAGGATGGCTGCAGAGAGAGTTGTAGAGCACCCGAAAAACAAGAACCAGCCCGTTATTGGAGTTGAAGAACAGAATAGATAGGTATAAATCAATATATGGGGATAAGGAGTCACAATGGTCAACTGGGGTCAACGATCAACGATGGATCGACATGATGTGTACGCATAGACACTGGCGCGCCGAAGCGTGTCGGCTTTACTCTAACAACTCTAACAATGGCAGAACAGCGTTACTCACGAAGCTCGCGTCAAGCTACGGGGCGAGCGGGAAAAACTAGAAGCTGAAATCAGGAAAAGTGACTTGTACGAGTCATGTGTCGGGGAGTGGCGATTGGAAGAGTCAGGAAGGCCAAGATGGAAGTATTCGGACTATATTTCTGGTCGCGAGTGGTGAAGATCATTCGGAGTAGATCCTGCTCTGCTGGAACTTTGGAGACATGACTTGACGATGGCACGGAGTGCAAGTCGCCAATGGTATGGAAGTAATTGATGATATGCGCAACCAGAAGGAAGACAAGCTGTTCAGCTGAAAAGACTTCAGTACATGCGTGCGGGTACAGCGGCAACTGCAGGGCCGACCACAATTCCTCGTGTAACGAGTATGATTCATCGAGAAAATCACAATCACATTGAGATGATCATTATTCCGTAATGTTCACCTTTGGGTCAAGGTCTGCCTTGACTGAGCACTGGGAAGACTAATCCTTAACCCAAGAGAGCAGTCTCATTTCTTTTGCAGATGTTCAACAACCTCATGCCTAAACGCTTAACCTTCTTCTGGGCTTTCTTCGCCGGCACTATCACCTTCGGTGAGAGCACTACTAATCGCACACTTCTGAGGGTATTCCATCGTGGAGTCCCACTCGACATTCGTCATATACCAAAAATGATGACACAGACTCTCGCGGCCTCTGATGGAATGATGGAATCTCTCAGTCAAGATGACCATGATTGTGAACGATGCTTCGCGCAAGATGATATGGTCTATGACTTGAAGGCGATAGGCATACAAATTGTGGACTCCAAATGCCCGGTTGGTCACAAACAAATTTTGAACTACTTGAGGAAAGCTAAGAATATGCTGAGCATCGACTTCGATTGCGAGCCCGACTCGAGGGTCACACTGCATCCGACCCTCGCGGCGGACATGGCAACTTGCACTGGTGGCAATTCTGTTCTCGGCACAAACGACCCCGGCTCATCCTGTCAGCCTAACCTCGAGCTTATCCATTTAGGGGCTGCCTGGGAAGCGGCTCGCTCAGCCGGACGGAAGCTGAAGGATGTCGTGTTGGCCATCAGCGACACTGGTGTTGACATGACTCATCCTGACCTGGTTAATCAATTCTGGAGGAACCCAGCTGACAACTCCATCGGTTACAACTTCATAACCAACAGTATTGATGTGACTGATAGACACAGCCACGGTACTCACTGTGCTGGCAACGCTGCCGCTCAGACTAATAATAACATTGGCATCGCAGGAGTGGCAAATATCGATGGCTCAGTACCTAGTGTAAAGCTGATGATACTCAAGATGCTTGATGACACAGGAGGGGGCTATACGAGTGACATAGCGAGGGCCATCAACTTCGCCGTCGAAAACGGGGCAGCATTTTCCTCTCACTCCTACAGGTGGTTTGACGACAATGAAATAATGAGGGCCGCATTCAGGAACGCCGCTGCTGCTGGGCATATGGCTGTGACTGCAGCTGGAAATGAGATGGCCAATTTAGATGGTTGGCCAACCTTTCCATGCACTTATGCGATCGAAATACCATCAATGCTCTGTGTGGCTGCCACTACTTCCGACCCGACCGAGGACGTCACTATGGCCCCCTTCTCGAGTGCTGGTTCTGCAACGAAGGTTGCCGCACCCGGTGTCGATGTTTATTCAACTTTTCCGGGCGGGTCCTATAGTTATATGAGTGGTACATCGATGTCCACTCCTACGACCGCCGGTGTCGCGGCTTTGCTGGGTACGCTCGGTCTAGAGAGCCAAGAAATAGCGGACACTCTTATCAAGTCTCGGACCGATGGTTTACCGAATTGGCGTGGGGTATCTGATATCGGGATGATCGATGCCTTCAAAGCAGTCCAAGCAGCTCTGGGCTCGCCGGCTACTCGTTTAAGAAAGAACATCCAGTCTTCGAGTAGATGAGTGGCTGCCGAGGATTTCTGATTTCTTTCAAAATAACCAGTCACTTTTCCGTTCTGCAAGTCCACTTTTTTGAACATTGCGTCACTTCGTTGATCGGTCTTTCTATCTTGACACGTCGACTTCAGGTCTCTCTCCTACCATGATTATCGGGAAATCCATCACTATTGTATTTGGTCTGCTCCTACTGTGCTTCCAATACGGTAAAAATCGAGTATACTGCGGTGTAAAGACTCGGTCTTTAGCTCCGAATATTACTCGCAACTGTATTGGTCCAGCTCGCCTGGAGCTCCCCGCATTATATTCAAGCCTACTACATCTGTGTCACGAGCGTCTGGTACTTCTTTCTATTCGTGTTAGTGAGAGATAGAGTTATGGCGCTCGCTCTCTGTAGTCACGGATGTAACGCTGTTGCAGACCGAGCAGGTTTTGTCTTTTCCCATCTGATTTCGTTAATGATTACTTCATCGATATTTTGTTGGGTTGTAAGAGGTCCTTGATAAACAGCACCAAGAGAGAATTCCATCATAGTCAGTTTCTGAGACCGCATATCCTCCAGAGCCACTGATGTGCTCATTATAAGTGCTGCCATTTTGGAGCATCTGCGTGAGCTTCTAATATAAGTCCCCGCCGTGATGGGTCGTTACCTAGTGTGCTGCTCTCTTTCCAGTTCATCCAGTCTCTCCTTGGTTGTCGAGATCAAAGCGTCCAGCTGGGAATAGCAGGCTTGAAGGTCGGGGACGACCACAGCATCAACCACTTCGGCCGCGGTAGACTGCTGACCGCAAAATCAATCATTCAAGATTTGCCAGACTGACGCTAAGAAGAGTTCATAGCGAATTTACACGAGTCAATCACAAGGAGGATATTTCGAGAGTAACAAATGATCCCACCTCGCCCCATCTTGCCCTGCAGTCGATCTGCTCTATCTCGGCCACCAAATGCTCATAGAGCTTCTGGCCTACATCTCCGATATGTTTCCGAATCATGTCCATAGCTTCCCTCTGTGTGGCATAGTTCTAAAAACACTCTGAGTAATCGAAATCTTTGATCACAACGTTCAAGAGAATTTTCAGTATTGGAAATTCCAATTTGGAATTCAGTTATGCTTCGCACCTTCCTCAAAATCTCATCAACGTACTATAAATAACCCTACTTTGGCGGCTCCAGCACTGAGTTCATCGAGTGAGGCTGTTAGATCTTTTGATGATATCCCAAATCAAAAGAACGCAGAGCCACCCAGATAGTATAGAAGCAAGTATACGATAACCTCGGTAGCTCAGAGAGGTAGAAGAGCCACGAGTAGAGGGACGGGACAAGGATCGCCGAGAGGCGAATGACAGCTTGAGAGACCACAAAACTCAGATACTAATAACTGAGAGAGGAATCTTCTGCCGTTTCACTGGCAACCGTTTCCTCACAACTCGGGCGAATCTTCCAAGTGTGCAGATATACTGAATGGAAATGCAATATGTTGAATATACTTGAATATATGGAATGTAGAATAATCAATTATCTTAGTCGTCATCATCCGATTCCACACGCCCCCCTGGCGGTGTGCCAACACCGTCATCAGTTGAGGGCTGCCAGCGCTCGGTCGCCAAGTTGAGCCATTCCTCAGGGTCGCCGTTAGACCAGCTAACCAAAACTTCGAAGTCGCTGGACTGATCCGTGATGAAGCCACTATACCACCGACCCGCACCATTAGTGTCTGATATCCAAACTCGGATGGGCATCCCAACGAGAGAAGGTCCGCAAGTTCGGGCTGGATAGTCCTCGGGATGTCGACCAATGGGTAGGACGTTGTACATATTCTCCACGGTCTTGACACCAGTGGGTAGGATCACTTCGACGCGATTGCGGGAGATCTTCTGATGAACGTGAGCAATCGTGAAGTTCTTGGCTAGCTTACGAGGAGCTGGGGAGTAGACAAGGACCGTACGACCAGGGTCGAAGGCATCATGAGCCACTCTAGTGATGGGTCTGACTGCACTGTTACGACGCTTGATGAGAGCCCAACCTTCGGACAAGAAGGTACGCTGGGCTGCTTGAGCTGCTCTATACGGCAGTACGTTGTCACAGAACATCATGGTCGTGCGATTGAGTGAACGAAGGCGACCATTGCAAAGCAGTTCTGGGCAGACAGGAAGCTTGTCGCCGCTCAGCCACAAGTAGCTGCCAAGAGGTAGGTTGTTGTGCACCAGGCATATACGGTCGAACAGGTCTTGGCGTTGCTGTGGAGTCAGAGATAGAAGTCTACCGCCGCTATGCCGTAGGCTATTGCGTAGCAGAGCACACATAACACCGTGATGACGTTCATGACCGCCTTCCCAAGGAGCATGCCTCGATAGCAAACGAACCTCAGAGCCAAGCCGTCGGGCAACCTCGTCTATAAAGATAGTGCTTCTGAAATACGAAGCTCTATCACAGAGGATGATCCTGAAAGGACCAGCGCGAACCTGAGCTCGACACAGGGCGTCAAGTATTGAGCTGGTCGTCTCGTCGGGAATGTGCTGCCAGGTGACATGACGAGTAAAACGACACTGGCAACTTAATGCGTGCGTCTTCTCGCCTAGGCTGACCACGTCAATGGTGACGCAGTGATAGGGACCATAACGAGCCATAGAGTCAACGTCAGCCGTCCCTGGGGGCGTATGCCACCCTCGAGAAGCATTGGATATACGACAGCATATACAACTGCTAACCACCGACTTAGCGAGACCAATGACGGCTGGGAGATAGAAGTCACGGATGAAGCCGACAGTACCCGGAACACCCGGGTGAGCATTCTCGCGATGAGCGTCCAACACTATCTTCCGGCCGAACATAGTTGCCTCTCGTGGGACAATGGGCAATAGGATAACCGAGCCATCACTCAGACCTGACCGATGTACGAAGACATCCGCGAGCTCAGCGTCGACAGAGAAGTGAACCGGACCACCATGTTGGGCTGAGTTGTTGCCGATTGTGCTCTTAACAGGGGATGCAAGCATTTGACGTTGTGCTGATCGGCAAGCTGCTCTGATGTTGGCATGACCCCAGTGATCTGTAAGAAGCACGTTGAGCCTACGAGCATCAGGCCGCTCTTTATTATCCTTAAGGACCCTCAGAATCTTCCGGAGAAGTTCGACACGCCATAGGATGTCGTCGAGATCATAAGAGTAAGCGGATATAACCTCAACGATGGGCTCAGACTGTGTCTGGACAGAAGCAGCAACTTGTAGATCATCCCGAAGTTCGAACACGCAGTTGATGGTGTCGAGGACGTCAGCGGTCCCCGCTATATCGTCCATGATGTTCCGAGCGATGAAGCTAGAACTGGGCGTAGCTCTGTCGATGGATATATCTTCCAGGACTCTGCAGCAGTCGGGATGATGGGCAGCATGACAACGAATCCGAGCATTCTGTGTTCCTTGGAGAAGAGCGCAGAGATCGCACTCTGAGCTTGTGAGGCAAGGATCAGTAAGAGCGAAACAGCAGTCAGTAGGATCATCAGAGTCTCGCCCAACGACCTCGACGGTATTCTCCCGGACAGAGTTGTAGATCTCGTTGATCTTGATACCCTCGCCCTCCCCTCTGGAGAGAAGGAGTGCACCTAATGACTGATTGCCAGACTTGGGGACAATCCTGTCTAGGCAGCGACTTGCTGCGTCAGCAAGGACATTGGAAGAACCTCGCACGTGAGAGACAGTGATAGTAGCACCGGAACATCTGATGCAACTGATCTCTTGTGCGATACACTCCACCAGACGTATGATCGACCGCTTCTCCAGGGCCTTAGATGTCTTGAGACGGACAACAGCAGTAGGGTCGTTGATCCAGCTTATGGAGGAGCGGTTATCACATTGTAGAGTGATGGCGATAGCCAGATCGCGAGATTGACTGGTAGCAACTGAACGGAGGTACTCGACCAGCGACGACAGTATACGGAGAGTCTGCAAGCAGACTAGAAGCTCTCGACGATTGGCGCTATAGTTAGCCTGTGTGCGAGAGAACCTCAGACAGTCCGACAGAATGATCTCGGGTGGCTTACCAGAACCAGGGCAATCACGAGAGATTACGATACCACCACCATAGAGTGATGCGTCGCAAGATGCCACCAGGGAGACTCGAGACGACTCGTCACCAGCTTCATAGACAGTAGAGGTATGATGACAGGGACTACTCTCGGCCTTGCAGAGCTCAAGACCCCAGTTGACGACTTCAGTAAAGCATGACTGATCTCGAGGGTTGAGCGAACTAAGATCACACTCTTTGTCCCATGGGGTAGAGGCAAAACGACTTCCAATAAATGCCCGAATAACGTCTCCCAGCAGTCTCATCTCACCGTGCAGTCTTGAGCAGTCGAAAGAGATTACGCCAGCAAGACAGAAGTAGGCTTTCTTGGTAAGTCGTAGTGAGATAGCGCGACCGCCGTTTAGGTAAGAGATGGCCTTCTCCATACGCTCAGTCCTCCTACAATCGACTGCAAGCAGCACCACCGGAGGAGCTTTATCAGAGTGAGAGGTCTCATACCGAAAAGAAGCGTTGAAGATAGAGATGGACTCAGCAACAGGGAGGTTGATGTTACATTCGTCCAACAGCTTCACAACTGTATCCGCCTGTGAAGGTGCACAGATGATACCGAGCTTCTTTTGCTGAGCACAGAAGGCGACGAGTTGGAGAAGCCACAGAAGCTGTGCCAAGTTGTTAACAACAGCGCAGGCGAAACCTGCTATGATCAGATCGTCAATGAAGTCGATCACCCATCCTGGGAGAGATACCAAGCCGGACCGATAGCGCTCGACCAAATCGCCCAAGGTATTGATGAGAGAGCCTGGTCCTGGGGAGCATCCAAAACCGACCCTGGTAGTGATGAAGTCCCCTACCGCAGTACGAATCTTGAAGTAGAGCAACTTCGACTCGGATGATATCCGTATCGAATAAAAGGCACTCTTGATATCAGCGACGGCTATAGTGTTAGGGGAAAGTACACGCAGAGAGGTAGTAGCCTCCCATAATTTAGCCATGGAAGCAGTGGTCTTCGGTAACAGGGCATTGGTACTTCGTAAGTCGATCACTAACCTTGGTCGACGACTGCCACCGTGCACCATAAAGGTGCTAGAGAAAGGAAGTCGTCGAAAATCATAGGACTGGCTGAGTTCTTGACTGGGTTTCTGCCAGAGCCCTTTCGACACGTAGTCCTCAACAGCTATCTTATATTGCTCCTTCAAGTCATCGGGAAGCTTTGAATACATTGCCTTCGCATAGTCACGGGTTTGGACTTGTTGCAGTTTGAGTGACGGTAGATAAAGCTCGGCGACGAACTGTTGCATGAAAACATCACGACTGTCGTTGTTGGAGAGCTTACGGATCCTCGTCTTGTAACCAGGAGACAAAGGTATTGGCTTCCAACCAGCTATGACAGCCTCGTTTAGAACTTTGAGCAGAGAAGACTCAGCAGTAGTTGGTAGCCGGATGAGAAGCTGGTCATCCACAGCTGATGGTGTCGAGTCGGCGACGTAAGCAGTGTCGCAATCGACGATGACCTCAGTGGCGTCAGGTGCTGGTGACGGTGGTGAGGTGGTTGTCGATCTGCTGACATCATGAACGAGATGCTCCGAGATGTAAGCGCGCTCGATACCATGACAAACAAGTCCGAGGGCACCTATGAGATCTCGACCGATTAAACAATAGGGGTACGAACGAGAACTCGGGGCCTTAGTGCCACCAGAAGCAGATAAACCAAGGCGGAGAAACCGGAAGTCGTGGTTCTTCTCACCAAACCAACCACCAGATGTCAAGTCCAAGACCTCGAAGCTGAGAGAGGCGGACTTGGAGATAACAACGGTGCTACCATCCGCAAGCTGTACACGGGGTGGTGAAGCCAGAGCCTTGATCGCAAACGGGACCTCAAACTCGTGAGGGACGATCAAGTATGAGCAAGTAGCGCCTGAGTCGACGATGCCACGGAGAACCATTGAGTCGCAGCTCTGAGATAGACGAAGAGTAAGAGCCACTTCCGAAGCTGGGGGGGAAGATGGCTCGATGGCGATTGCTACCATGTCAGAGTGTAGATTAGCAGTGTTAGAGGCTAGAGTTGGAATAGATAGATCAGCTTCGTTGGGTACGGCTGACTGGGTAGTTAAGAGATCACGCAGGTCGGTGCAGTACTGTGAAGTGTCAGTGATAGTAGGATTCGGAACAAGGGACTCGCGGAGGTCTCCTACTGGTGGCCTCCACTCCCCCCGCCGTTTTTTGGCTGACGAGGGCCATGACGAGAGTTCCGCTTGTAGTTGGTGTCAAACTCCTTGACTACACCAAACCTCGTCTTATCATTGAAGTACTCCGAGACACAGTTGAGAGCACGAGCCTTATCACCAAATGAGAGGAGGCAGTAGGGTTTACCCCCTTTGGAGGTCAGGAACTTCAGCTCTGTCGCTTCGGAGAACCCTGCCGTCGACGGTGTAGCACCTTTCACACCATCGCCCATAACAAGCAAGACGTACGGCTGAGATTTCGCCCAAGATACCGCTTCTGCATGAGCTGCTTTCTGTTGGTTGTTAGCTGTGGAACTCCGCTGATCAGACGTATGCCACAGTTTATCTCTCACATCAGAAGCGTTGCTGTTCTGGTTGTTGGGGGTAGAAGACTTAGGCTTCTTAGACTCAGTGGTGAAGTTGTGAGCATAGCAGAGCTCTGTGAGTAATCCCAATATGGTACTTGTACCTACCCCACCGTCTAGAGGGAGCTTACGCTGCCATTCCCAGTTGCGTCTCTCCGGATAGCTTTGGCGCGCTACCGCCGTGACCTCTTTGATGAGTTCGGTCATGATGTTGTTCGGTAGAGGCCGGAGAGCCAGATCGACAAAGTGAGCTGTGACATCAATAGGCTCAGTTGAATCGTCGCTCGTAGCTCTGCGATCGCCGACCTCAGGGGGTGTATTGCGGAGACTGATTAGATGTAGTGAGCGTAGATCACGAACTTGATCAACAAATCTGTTTACACCAGAAGGACCGGAGAAAGTCAGCTGGGTTGCTCGCCTAAGCACCTCCTTCCTCATTTCCACTGGGCTACAGTACTTCTCGACGAGCGCTTTTTTGACCTTCTGCCAATCATAACCAATGCTAGGTAAGTCAATGAGACGAGTAGCTTCACTCAACAGGGTACTGTGGGGAGCCAATGTCTCCAGTAGCTTCTCTATCAGAGGAACCCTCAGTGTTGGGTGCGGTTGGAACTCGTCCTTACCATTAGCAGTAGGCACCAACTCTCCGAATCCTGCAGAAAGGAATAGGCTCTCCAATCTGCGATATTGCAGGGGCAAGAGATAGATATCTTTGAGAGTCCGCGATGTGACATTGAACTTGACCACATCTCCTAAGGACGGCACTCTCGAACCAGACTTGGTTGTTATTGATGTGGTGGTAGTAGAAGGAGCGACACGTTGAAATGCGTCCGTGATAGTGCTCACCAGCAACTCCATCTGATCAGATGGATTGTTAGAAAGGCCTTCAACTGGAGCTTGGGTTTCAGACAATAACTTGTTGATCTTGGCCGTGCATCTATCCACAAGATCGACGTAGGCCGCAACCTCCTCCTCGAGAGCGGCTTCAGTTACAGCCAATTGTTCTCGCTGTTCATCGTCGACAGAGAGAATGTCAGTAGAGCTTAGCTGCTCTTGCACGGCCACAAGCTCCTTGAGACGTATAGTACGCTGCCGTCGACATGTAGACCTCAGTTTTGCCAGACCAGACCTCGTGTTGCAGGTATCGATGTCAACAGCTGTTACCATGTTAGATCTTTTGATGATATCCCAAATCAAAAGAACGCAGAGCCACCCAGATAGTATAGAAGCAAGTATACGATAACCTCGGTAGCTCAGAGAGGTAGAAGAGCCACGAGTAGAGGGACGGGACAAGGATCGCCGAGAGGCGAATGACAGCTTGAGAGACCACAAAACTCAGATACTAATAACTGAGAGAGGAATCTTCTGCCGTTTCACTGGCAACCGTTTCCTCACAACTCGGGCGAATCTTCCAAGTGGGCAGATATACTGAATGGAAATGCAATATGTTGAATATACTTGAATATATGGAATGTAGAATAATCAATTATCTTAGTCGTCATCATCCGATTCCACAGGCCAGCGCTGCCTGCGCTCTGTCGCTAGTCAGTTCGCCAACTGTTGAGTCTCGGATCTGTTACAATACGTGGTGTTACTACTGCTCATAGTAGTTTGGCATAGTCTGGTTAAGCCTATTGGCATCAAACTTTGAATCAACAACAACGACAAAAACAACAAAAACAACAATAACAGCAACGAAAATAACAGTAATAATAACAACAAACAGCAACGAAAACAACAACAACAACGAAAACAACAACAACGAAAACAACAACAACGAAAACAACAACGACGAAAACAACAACAACAACAACAACAACAACAACAACGATAATAACAATAACAACAACCCCCAAATCATTAGCTGACTGTCGATGGCCATTCGAGGGAATATGAAATCCATAAATACGTGATATCACGACCCCAGCGTGCATGAAGATATAGAGTCTATAGACTCGATTTTAGTATAGACGAGTTCTTCAGGAGAGCTCCCTTGTATGTGACAGCTCAAGTCTAAGGTATGGGCATTCTTTGACTCCGTACCAGCAGAACTCCCACGTTATCAGTCAGACCTCACCTCAAAACGCTGTGCAAAGTCATCGATCAGTTTCCTCCGGCCTGCGATAGTGGATTCAATGATCTCCAATACTTCATCAATCCACTCAACGCTTTTAGACCCTACAGGATCTCAATTCCCGACTTCTAAACTAATTTTGAAAGGAGCACTCATTATCGCCTCCCCCGCGTGATCCGTCTCTTCAAATTCCATCACACATAGTAAAGCCGAAATTTCGTGATCCTGCTTTCCCATACAAGCCTTGAGATCCTCCGACACGAGCTGCACCTGGGAAGAAGAAACGAAGCGCACAACTCGTGGACAGATCGAAGCATCCGTTGAATTACTTCAGCAGCGCATTCGTCCGCTACGACAGCAAAGAACTCCTTGTAATGTTCCAAAGCTTTGTCGTGATGAGCCTTCCGCCTAAGCAACACAAGGGTTGGCTGTCAAATCACTCATGCCAAGTCGATATGTCAGAAAGCGTTATGGAGAAGAAACAAAATGCCCCCATTAGTGAGCTCAGGTCATGATGGATGGATTGCTCTTGCGTACCTTGCAGTGAACTCTTCACGTCTTTTCATCCGCTTATTATAAGCTTCTATTGTTTCCTGAACCAAGGCAACCCGTATGCATCCACCCTCGCATCGCCGACCCCGTACGTCAGTCGGGATGGGCGAATCCACCAGACCTTTGACCATCTGTCTCTCCTCCTGAATTTCGAGTAAATGCTCGGAAGAGAGCTTGTCGGTCTGAAGACAAGGCATTGCTCTGAGCATAATATGCGCTAAAAGCATCTATTCTCGTGCTACTCTTTTCGCTTCATCGACCCTCTGTTGTTGCAGACGAGAGAATTCCTGACAATCGGAGCAGTTGAGGATTACGCCTTATCAAGGCGTAAGGCAATAGATCCATTGCACGCTGTTATCAGAGGGATCAAGGGCAAAGGCCAAAGGTCACCTTGATGTCTTGTCCGGTCTTGAATCCCCTAGTCGGGTTCACCGATTGCTTTTGTCTATGACCGTTCGGCGAGCCAGTCATAATGGGAGTAGATGAAAACATTTCCAAGATTCCATCGAGAGACGAACTGGGTTCAGAGTCTTGAGTGCTAAGCGGTATAGGATAGAACCACACAAAAACATAGTCTATACTTTTTTGATGAGTAGTACCCCATAAAATGACCAGCAGCACTTGAGAACAACACATGGCACAGTACAGCAATTTGGAAAGTAAACAACGGTCTCAGGAGCATCTTTCGCCGCCAATCGAGAGTTCTCATCCGATAAACCAAGCCGAATTCCATGTACCTGGATCCTGTGTGGATATATTCGACCCAATTTTCACAGCTCCTCTGTTGGGACGTCGCCAATCTACCAGGTGGTGGAATATCACGGTGCTCCTGACGCGGCATCTGGTACAGCACGAAAGCTTTTAGACGTGACTCGAGCATTTTCTGCATCCACGCCATTGGATTAATCTGTACTTGGTCGGAAAAGCATTCTCTTAAAGAGATCAGCCTTGTCCCCATTATGCGGACCCCATAGAAATCACAAGTCGACGTGGAGATAGAGTGAGAGTGACGACATAGATAGTCAGGAATATAATTGCGAAAGATCCGTCGTTGAGTGAAGGGGAGCGGCATTAAAAGTGACCCGAGTGAGTCCCCGCATTCACCACCAACAGACAAATGAACTTAAACCATTATCATGCACCGAAGGATAACATCATCATAGTTATGTGGGCTCGACTCATACCCCATCGTCCCCTAAGGCGTCAACTGGCAATCACACCGCGCATGGGCTCAAACCGATCTGTTGTGGCCGCCCTATAGATAGGGCAAGAAGACAGAGATACTCGGTCTGGTTTCTGAACTAGTTCTGAACTAGCGCCTCTAGTTCAACGCGAACTAGAGGCTGCCGATAGACCTCTAATTCTGACTAATTCTAAACTGACACCGTTGGTGAGGGACACAACCCTCGGATCGTCCGATTGCTAGAGCCGATTCCGATTGATCGGGACAGCTACGCCATCGAAGATATGCCTGAGTACAATCGTTTCTTGCGGGCGGTGCAGCTATGCCATCCCAAGGTAAGACTTAGTAGAGTCAATTACTCCGCGCGGGGCAGCTATGCCACTCCAAGATATGCTTCAGCACGACAAATTTCTCTGGTCGGGGCAGATATGCCACCCCTCGGGGTGGCATCGGGATATGCCCTCCCACGGTATGGTGCATTTGACATCCCTAGCACAATCATTCGCTGAAGCGCAAGGCAAAACGATATCATTTGTCGGCGATATTGATCGCAGATCTCCAGAGAATGCAGAAATCTACTTCGCTGCCACCAGCGTCAACTCCACTTGAGGGCAGAGAATCTCTGCCAGAGATGCCGGCAAAGGATTCACAACGGGACCCGTTGTGCCTTAACATGCTTGAACGGGTGTTGAGGCTGACATGCATGTCACGGGGACACTTTGGATAGATGGCCGTGCATGCAGGGTACGTTCGGTGGAGCATGGGGCTAGAAGGGACACGGCCACAGAGAAGTTCTGATTTCATCAGATTCAGGAATTCATTGAGCCCGCATACCGTCAGTGGTGAGAAGGTTCACTTTCGTATCAGTTGGGATCAGCATTCATTCTTGTGCTACAGCCCTCCTTATGTTCCTTTTCTTAACCATTACTCTGTCTGGTAGACAGTGTGTATCTCTTCGTGAACCAGTCCTTAAGGATTTCGTGAACCGTAATTAAAGAGATTTATCTAGATGGCTGCTGAGGGAGTTGTAGAGCACCCGTGATACAGGAACCAGCCCGTTATTGAAGCTGAAAAACAGAATGGATCGGTATAGACCAATATATGGGGATAAGGGGTCAACGATCAGCGATGGATCGACATGATGCGTACGCATATACATTGGCGCGCCGAAGCGTGTCGGCTTTACTCTAACAACTCTAACAATGGCAGAAGTTCTGCCGCAGAACAGCGTTACTCGCGAAGCTCACGTCAAGCTACGGGGCGAGCGGTAAAAGGTAGAAGCTAAAGCCAGGAAAAAGACTTGTATGAGTCATGTATCGGGGAGTGGCGATTGGAAGAATCAGGAAGGACAAGATAGGAGTATTCAGGCTATATCTCTGATCGCGAGTGGTGAAGATCATTCGGAGCAAATCCTGCTCTGCTAGAACTTTGGAGATACGAGTTGACGATGGCACGGAGTGTAATTCGCCAATTGTATGGAAGTAATTGACGATATGCACAACCAGAAGGAAGACAAAATGCAAAGGGGCTTCGGTACATGCGTGCGAGTACAGCGGCAGCTGCAGGACCGGCCACAATTCCTCGTATAACTGAGTTGATCATTACTCCCTAATGTTCACCTTTTGCTTAAGGTTTCCTTCGATTGAGCGCTGGAGAGACTAATCCTTAACCCAAAAGAGCAGTCTCGTTTCTTCTGCAGATGTTCAACAGCCTCATGCCTAAGCGCTTGGCCTTCTTGTGGGCTTTCTTCGCCGGTACTATCGCCTTCGGTGAGAGCACTACTAATCGCACACTGCTGAGGGTATCCCATCGTGGAGTCCCACTCGACATTCGTCATGTATCAAGAATTATGACACAGACTCTCGCGGCCTCAGGTGGATTGGTGGAATCTCTCAGTCAAGACGACCATGATTGTGAACGATGCTTCGCACGAGATGATATGGTCTATGACTTGAAGGCGATAGGCATACAAATTGTGGACTCCAGATGCCCGGTTGGTCACAGCCAAATTTTAAACTACTTGAGGAGAGCTAAAAATATGCTGAGCATCGACTTCGATTGCGAGCCCGACTCGAGGGTCACACTGCATCCGATCCTCGCGGCGGACATGGCAACTTGCACTGGTGGCAATTCTGTTCTCGGCACAAACGACCCCGGCTCATCCTGTCAGCCTAACCTCGAGGTTATCCATTTAGCGGCTGCCTGGGAAGCGGCTCGCTCAGCCGGACGGAAGCTGGAGGATGTCGTGTTGGCCATCAGCGACACTGGTGTTGACATGACTCATCCTGACCTGGTTAATCAATTCTGGAGGAACCCAGCTGACAACTCCATCGGTTACAACTTCATAACCAACAGTATTGATGTGACTGATAGACACAGCCACGGTACTCACTGTGCTGGCAACTCTGCCGCTCAGACTGATAATAACATTGGCATTGCAGGAGTGGCCAATATCAATGGATCAGTACCCAATGTGAAGCTGATGATACTCAAGATGCTTGATGACACAGGAAACGGCTTTATGAGTGACGCAGCGAGGGCCATCAACTTCGCCGTCGAAAACGGGGCAGCATTCTCCTCTCACTCCTACAGGTGGTATACCGACAGTGAAATAATGAGGGCCGCATTCACGAACGCCGCTGCTGCTGGGCATATGGCTGTGACTGCAGCTGGAAATGAGAGGGTCAATTTGGCTATTCATCCAACCTTTCCATGCACTTATGCGAACGAAATACCATCAATGCTCTGTGTGGCGGCCAGTACCTCTGACCCCACCGAGGTCGTCATTATGGCCCCTTTCTCGAATGCTGGTTTTGCAACAAAGATTGCCGCACCCGGTATTGATGTTTATTCAACTTTACCGGGCGGGTCCTATGGTTATATGAGTGGTACATCGATGTCAACTCCTACGACCGCCGGTGTAGCGGCTTTGCTGGGTACGCTCGGTCTAGAGAGCCAAGAAATAACGGACATTCTTATCAAGTCTCGGACCGATGGTTTACCAAATTGGCTTGAGGTATCTGATATCGGGGTGATCGATGCCTCCAAAGCAGTCCAAGCAGCTCTGGGCTCGCCGGCTACTCGCTTGAGAAAGAACATCTAGTCTTCGAACAGATGAGTGGCTGCCGAGGATTTCTGATATGTGTTAAAAAAACCAATCACTTTTCCGTTCTGCAAGTCCACTTTTTTGAACATTGCGTCACTTCGTTGATCGGTCTTTCTATCTTGACACGTCGACTTCAGGTCTCTCTCCTACCATGATTGTCCCTAAATCCATCACTATTGTATTCGGTTTGCTCCTACTGTGTTTCCCATACGGTACAAGTCGAGTATATTGTGGTGTAAAGACTCGGTCTTTAGCTCCGAATATGATTCGCAACCGTGTTGGTCCAGCTCGCCTGGAGCTCCCCGCATCATATTTAAGTCTACTACATCTGTGTCACGAGCGTCTGGTACTTCCCTCTATTCGCGAGCGTGAGAAATAGAGTTATGGCCCTCGCCCTCTGTAGTCACGGTCCGTGACTCACGGATGTAACGCCGTTGCAGACCGAGCAGGTTTTGTCTTTTCCCATCTGATTTCGTTAATGATTACTTCATCGATATTTTGTTGGGTTGTGAGAGTTCCTCTAAACAGCGCCAATCCTAACCTCGGATTCCGAGGTCTCCTAGCAGTAGCCTCCTCGGAAGCGACTTGCAAACCAATTGAGAAGAACTAATTGCTCTCACAACCTCTGAACAAGAATGAACTTACTGTTATTAATAATGAGACATGAATGTAAGCACATTCATTTCCTTCACTCTGGCACTGTTTACAACGATCCCACCGAGGCTGTGAGAAAGCGACAGCATTCGGATCTGACAAATCATGACAAATACTTCATGTATCACGAGACTAGGAGGCGCACTGACACAGGGAAATTCTGATCCGATCAGATTCAGCAATTCACTGAGCACGCATGCCATTGGTGGTAAGGAGTTTCAGCTCCGTATCAGTTCAGGTCAGCATTCATTTTTGTGCTACGCGCTGTAGCACAAGGATGAATGCTCTAATCGGTCTCTCCACGTTGACACGTCGACTTGGGATCTTTCTTTGACCATGAACATCGAAGTCGATCATTATACTATTCGGCCTGTTCCTACTGTGTGAGCTGATTATCTCCACCATGGACTCAGAAGGTGGGATGCAAATGAAGTTCACAGCCGCAGGCCGAGGCGAAACTGATCATGCGGAAAGTTCAAGGAGACACAAACGAGAGCTATAGGAAGTCACAACGGCAACACACGGGATACAAATGTTGGCCGGTCCATGAACCAACCATACCGGTCTCCGAGAATCGTTCGCGGTGGGCGACAAGAAACCCTTACCTTGCCTACTACGAAAACACCATTGATAGAGAGCCTCTAAGCTGTATGGTGAGATCCTAGGCCCTGTTTCTGGCTTTACAGGAGATAACAAGAACCTTTCGCTCAGCGTAGTAGCATGACTGAAATGACGCAAAAAGAGGGTGTCATCGATAGGGACATCTGACACAATCAATGTCCGCGCATCTCGCTGATGGTTTAAAGTACGGCTAAGCCCTCAGCAAAAATGGGAACATTTATAACTCTCATCATAAGTGTCTGCAGCTCCTCATCGAGTGGGAGGAAGCTTGTGTTACTGAGCGACGGTAAATGGTCATGGCCCCTCTAAACGGGTGTAGCTTGAGACGCGTGTGCACTGCACACGCGTGCACATTCCAACTGGTGAGTGGGAAGTAGTAACAATCTCCCTTATATAGGTAAAACAGGGCACTCTCAGAAGTTACAGAATAAATATCAGCAAATTGGTAATACTTCTCAACTTGAGATCATAAATAACAACTTTGGACAACCGTGATATAAGTTGACGTCACAAAGGACAGTACATGCAAGTTCTAGTTAATGAGCATTAGTAAAGTTATCCGTCGCTTCAAGAATGAATTCAAAAAGGTTCTTCATGTTACGACAACAATTCCCCGCTTGCCACATTGCAGACTCTCCCGCTTTATTCGGTTTGCTAGCCGACACTCCGCGTTCAATCAAGTACCTCAAAACCAATAGAGGAGAGCAAGGACGCGAAGACTTACTCTATCATAAGTTTTTGCTGCTGTACCGGGCCCATTCCTTTTTTCGAGCGAGGACGAACGCAGTAATGCAAGGCCGTATTTCCGAGGTTATCACACTGTAAAGCTTCCGCATGGTGCTCCTCTATGAGCTTCTTTAGGTGATCACGTGAACCTGCGAACTAAGCTCGAATGCACACCACAAGGTCTGCCGTACCATATCGTGCACACAACAGTACGACCGTTCGCCCATAGGGATCTTGAATGTTGATATCAGCGCCCTCGCCGAGTGCTTGTTCCACCGCTACCGCTGGATAGACCCGCTTATAGAAAGCTCTCTGGATGAGGTCTCGTAGAGCATGTGAACTGTTCGACACTCGCGCCATCAAGGGAACGTAAATAATGGGACGAGGTGAATCTTCAAGGCACTTTGATATTTTCACAGTGCATCCCAGTATCTATCACCAGACCCAATACCACATAGATGCTTGCTATAGAAACATCTATGGGCATAGGGGGAAGAACGCGCCGGGCCGAGTCGACGTCAACTATGAGAGTCGCTAGGTAAAATCCTACCAAGCGACCCCCTAGGGATGAAGACACTCCTAGGAGCCTCTCCTCCCCGGCTAATCGACTCGCATCACAAGGTCTCTTTTACTCGTACTCATAAGCCTTACTTTCTCGATGAGCTCTCGAGCCACGGCTGAGTGAGTACTGCCACGAGCCGCCAGGTGAAGTGGTGTCTCTCCGAACTTGCTAGGGGACAGAGCCTCGGCATTTGCCTTGATGAGAGAGTCCACCATGTTGACGATCTGAAGCCTCACAGATGTTTTATCCGGCTCAGCATCAGCTCTAATGCTAACAACCCGTTAAAGCTGTTCAGACTGAAGCATGCTTGAATTCACGCTTATGTTCAGACTAGACGTCAGGGTGAGACAGCTCGTTATGCCAAGCTCACTATCACACTGTTGACCGAGAAAAACAAGCACTAAAGAGACTTCCCATCGTATATTGTTAATACACTACTACAATGAGCTCTTCAAGTGAGCACGATTTCGAGCGATCAACTACCTGTCGAGGGAGAGGTTCTTCTTTCCGCCTCGCAATATAATGCATAACACTGAATCCATTTCGATCCCGTATTGCTGTATCACCACCCATCACCAAGCACTGCATCACCTAAGGTAGAGTTAATATGCATGTATTGACACTTCGACTCACTTGGGCTTCTGTTCCCCATCGCCCGACACCCATCAAAGGTGTCCTTCCAAACGAGTCTTGATAGTTTACGGTTTCCGCTGTTAGTACCCTCATTAATCTGCTCTATTTCCTCCTCACCGAATGCATTCACAATCCGCTCACTTTTCTAATCTGTCAACGCCGTGTTCCACATTGTGACTGTCATGCACAGCCACGACCAGGGCTTCTGGGCTGTTCTCGGTCTTCTTTTCCCTCACCCTGTATTCACGAGAAGCAAAAACCTTCGCCACATATACATCACCACCCGAGATTGATGCACGCAACGCTTCACAACAAGGCGCATAAAGTTGTGATTGTTCTCATAAGGAGGAGTCGACTACTACTACCATCCTCGCCGCACTAATCATTGACTACACCACACAATGGTTGCTGAATATTACTTGGAAATCTTCAAGTATCACTAGACACCAATCCCTCTATGCTGCGCTGCACCATCATAATGATAATGAGGAGCTACGCAGTGATGAACAAAAGTCTAGGGTAGCATAACTATCCCTATGGAATCGAGGATGGCGAATGATCATCCTCATCAGCTGCTGCCACTACAAGCCATCTTTACACGCGAGGAGCGAAGATAGGAACAATTTCCTCAACATGCTCCTTCTTCTTGAGGACAATCTAAACACAAGGAAAGTGGCTCGGCTATACTAGCAACGAATAAACCTACCATATTGGCCATCCACTCAATGTTCTTCATCTCTTGAATACGCAGCTTCACCCAAGCGTAGATGATACCATAGTGATACTGTTGCTCGAAAGAGTTCTCGAACATGCGTACCGACTCCACGTACAAGAGATCCTCAATAGACTTGTAGCGACCCTGATTGGTCTTGTCGACATTCGAGTCGTGCTCATAGAACTGCTTGCACTGATCATACAGCTGAGCATACCTACAACGCAAACTCCTTTTCAACTAAATCGACCTCGCTCAACCTACTTGAGGTAGGGCTCTAAAGCAGCGCGAACAGCAGTGTCAGAGGTAGCCTTCATGAGCTTGTCAGTTCCCTCAGGATACAAGTAACTGCGACGAGGTAGAGGACATTTCAACCATTAAGGCAAATGATGACGCAACTTACCCGAAATTGGGATATAGGGCGTTACGCTCATCCAAGTTCTGAGCAGTGCCAAGGGGCGAATTCAAGGCATTAAGAGTGACCATTAAAACCTACAATGAGACCAGCAATACCCAATAGCATAGCCAGTCGTCTTACTCTGTAATCAGCTTCGGTCCTCAGGATGTGACCCATGACCTCCGCAGTATTGCTGTTCTCACTACCGTCCATGCAGAAACGGTAGAAACTCTCCATCCAGCACTTCTTCAAGAACTGATCAGATACGCAATAAAAACCATAGTAGCTCTACCAGCCATGTAAGTACATTTCTAAGGATCTCAAGGTCGGTCTCAGTGAGGACGTTATGGACCTCACCGTGTTGAACAACAGCAGTAGCGCCGCTCGGACCGCTTTGAGCACCAGAGCCCTGACCCTCAGTGTGAGTGTGAACTTGTTTGGAGTTGAGGAACTCTTCGAAGTAACTGACAAGAGGACCGATGAACCGCACCCTATGAATTGTATTTGTATTGCATACGGTCCAAGAGGAGTATCAATGAGGATGGTACGGTAGAGGTCTTCATAACCGTGGGTGAAGTCCATGCCGGGGATAGTCTTCATTTCCTCAAAGTAGCCAAGGGGATCGCATCGGGCAAGAAGATCCTGAATGATGGTATAGAGTGGTTGGGAAGGTAGTAGCTCCTCTACCTTAGGATTCTTGTTGTTTATGGTACCCTGAATGAGCATCACCACGTTGTCGATCATAGCTTCTTGACGGACATAATCCATGAACCTGGAGTCGATAATAAATACAACCAAGTGGAATTCTAGTTTTCTACTTAGCCATCTCGCCAACCGACTGAGCTCTGACGTAGTCGAACTCCTCAGCGAGGCGCTCATGGCACTTGCGCAAAATCGTGGAAGCCTGCAAGTCGAAAAATGAATCAAAAACAACATCAGCGTAGCTCACCTGTAGAGGACTAGGCTCATCCTGGAGGAAAGTGCCATAGTCTGTATCTTCGAGAGCTGTTCGGAGATCTGACGATATAGCAAATGTACTTCCATCGAGTGCGGAGAGCAAATCTTACCCTCCAAATTTTCTCCATTAGCAATACGACGATAATCGTCAGCTGTGAGAAAGCCGGAACGGAGACCTCTTACGAGACCCTCTCCGAGACCATCATCGATGTTGAAGTAAACGAGATCAGCCATGGGAAATATAGCAGTACCAGGACAACTACAAAACCAACAATCTAGTACAGTCACCAATTCTTCGCGCTGCGGTCAAAGATATTGCGTACCGATTTGCTCAAGTTTCTCACTCGCACGCTTAAAATAGCGCTGCAGACAAGTTCATAGAAAAACACGCAAACGATGATACCAACATGGAGTAGATCGCGCTTTTGGCGCACTAACGACACCATGTTGTACTATGGACATGATGACGGCTATGCTCTAGCCAATACAATGGAGATCGGAGTAGAGACCCAGCGGCGAACCGGAGGCGCTGCTCAGCGTTGGCTGAGCTCATCTTGCTATCTCGAAAAAGTGTCCTTTGGAACATTGTGCAGTAGCGCGCGCCATTGTAATCGATCCTTTTTGCTCAGCACGTGGCAACGCATTGAGTTCAAGGTTCGTCTCGTGAACTTCAGTGGTTGCTTATTTGAGTACACTCTCTTCCTTGGAAGGTTTGTGGTGTTTTCCTACATTTTACGCAATGGGTGGGTTACTGTCTCACCCCGTTACCGCCGTCCATCTACAACGACGTGCCAACGACAAGTTCCAATGCGGTGTCGCAACTCTACAGGGTTGGAGGATCTCTCATGAAGATGCGCACTGCATAGACTTGGACTGGGGTTCAACTCATGAAGAAGGCTTCTTTGCTGTACTCGATGGTCATACTGGTGATGACGCTGCCGAGTTCGGATCAAAGGAGTTACCTAAGCAGCTAGACGAGTCGGCTGGAGATCCCGAGGACCGCACTGTACAAGGCGTACAGGCCGGTTTCTTAGCCACTGATCAGGCGCTGAGAGAGACTCATTCTGAGGCCGGCGCTGTTGTTGTGGCTTCCATTGTAGGACTAAGGGGATCTCTATTGTGATCGTAGTTCTATACAGTAGAAGGATCGTAGTACTGTGTAACGCAGTGTATAGATGTAAATGCTTCCTGCAGTGTAAAAGGTTTTAACAAGAGTGAAGTACAATGAATGCGTCCATCGATGATTCACTTCCGCTTAGCTCGAAGTAGAATTTTTGTAGAATTTCTCAGTCTATAAATCTGCGTTTGGCAGCTGTTTGAACATGAAATCAGAGTGTTATAATTGGGTAACCATCATAATGTTGACGCTAGTCAGCTTGTCATTGGCTTTGACCGCATACATGATTGAATTTGTGTAGGAAAGCTCTTTATCGTAGACTGTGCTCAGGTGACGCCTCTTGGCAACGGAAAATACAAGGTTCGCCTCATGAACGCTGGTGATTCCCGCGCATTGGTATTCTCGGGTAAGAACGTTGACATGACTAAGTTGGAGAATGCCCAAGAGGACGTAACGAAGCAGCTATGCAATGATGATAGCACTGAGGCTAGCGGTGATAAGGGTATATTCGGTGGAGGGGACATGCTGGGCTCAAAGAAGAATCTAGCGTCTCTCACTGACGCTGACGTCGGAATTTTGTTGGCCACTAAGGACCATAAGCCTGATGATCCCGAGGAAAAGGCTCGGATTGAAGAAGCTGGTGGTTTTGTGAGCACAGACGAACCACCTCGGCTTTGTGGTGTGTTGGCCCTATCCAGAGGCCTTGGCGACTTCGCGTATAAAGACGACGCGGATCTTCCAGCTGATAAGCAAAAGTGCATTGCTGTGCCTGATGTTAGTGAAGTTATCGTTGAAGCTGGCGACTGGGTAGTATTGGCTTGTGATGGTGTGTTTGACGTTATGTCCAACGAGGATGTCGCGCGAGAAGTTATGGTACGAGCTCATGCTGGGGAGGATCTGGCTGAGGTTGCCGCTGAAATATTACAACGTTGTCTCAACCTACTGGATTCCAAGGACAATATGACTTGTATGATTATTAGAGTCGGCACGACTGAGCGTGGTCTGGAGACTGAAGTCCCAGAAGAACAACAAGAGGAACTCCAGCTTGGTGGCTATTCAGACCTCCATACATTGGCTCCGGGAATGGCAGAGAAGTATCAGACTTTCTTCAGGAAGGCTGGATTCAGTAAAAATCCCGCAGCCTGCAATACGTGTTCAAAAGTGTATCGGCATATGGCGCAATGTCCGTGTAAAAACGCCGTATATTGCGGAGTGACCTGTCAGAAGAAAGGCTGGAAGGATCATAAGAAGGTTTGTAAGGCAGTGAAGGGCAACGTGAATAGTGTAACTCCCACAGCTGTGAATGATTCGGCTGTTCAGAGTGGCGGTCGTAAAGGTCATAATCATAGTGGCCATATCAAGAGACGTTGAGTCCAGCATGACTGCTGTCGTTTGGTGGTGAAGGGTCGCGGTAATTACTTTTATGTAGTCTCCTGTACATATTACTTTCTACCGTGTGCTCGGTGAGTTCACTCATCATCTTGGCGAGTTTTGTTGGTTAAGTTGCTTTGGTGATGATAATAGTTGTTGTAGTGAACTACCGCTTGCACAATACACTGTAGATGATTAATTTCTAGTCTTGTGTGTGAAGTTTTAATATTACTTGGGGAAAGGATTTGTGATGGTTGTGGATGTATGGGCTCAGCCTGCTGATAGTGCCTTGCGGCACTTAGTACCAGAAGCCGTCAAACTCTTCGAGAGATCGCATTCCCCGATGGTCCAATGGTAGGGCTACTGAAACTGGTCGCTGAGTTTTTTGTCACTGCGCCACGAAATTGCCGTCCTTAGGGGAGACACTCCTTTGACGCCTACAAGGCTGTTGGGGATGCTAGACGAGGCCGGCATCGATCAGGTGAGTTGGTAACAGTACTGGAAGAGGTCGTGGCATAGCCGCCCCATCTAGAGAATTTGGTCTCACTGAGGCATATCTTGGTATGGCATAGCCGCCCCATCGGAAGACATTGGTCGTTCTGAGGCATATCTTGGTATGGCATAGCCGCCTCATCGGAAGACATTGGTCGTTCTGAGGCATATCTTGGTATGGCATAGCCGCCCCATCGGAAGACATTGGTCGTTCTGAGGCATATCTTGGTATGGCATAGCCGCCTCATCGGAAGACATTGGTCGTTCTGAGGCATATCTCGGTATGGCATAGCTGCCCCGTGTGAATATTCCGATCTTACTGCAGCAAACATGAAAAAGTGCGGTCATCCTTTACGCTTTGACCCGTCGACTGATGATAGTGATGTAGTCTCTTGTACTATGTTCAGTACTGACCCTACTACTACTACTTATTATTATAGTAGGATACTATAGTAATACTCTATAGCGTTATCAGCTTTATAGTGCTGTAGTAATACTAACTAAACGATTCCGGAGTAGTACTACTACTCTCAAATGGTTTACTTTCTATACCAGTATGACATCAGTACTAGTACTATGTATACCACTTTTTGTAGTAGTATCACAGCACTATGAAGCTTGAAATTAGCACTATTTTAGAACTGTAAAGCACTAATAATGGTAAGCTACTACGCTGAAGTCGATGACGGAGGGAGTTCGTGATTAACTTGAGTATTGTAGTATTTCAACGAGAATATCATATTGCTAACTCCATTACTCTTGGTGAGATCAGCTCAAATCCTGATGAATAACAGCGATAAATTATCGCCGATAATGTTAACGAGTGGTCGGCTTGTCTCGGAGGGCTGTCTTGTTAGATGCTTTTATCCGCTTGGGTGAGGCCTGGGGGCATTGAAGCTGTGAGTAATAGCAGAGTGCTCAGCTTTACGAAGGCAGCATCTGATAGATTCTTCGGTACGTCCCTATCATCACGGTCGTGTTAGTAGATTCTGAGACGTTATGTGCTGATCACCAACAGAGATTTTGCGATATCGGTCGCTGCTGCGGGGACGGTCTCATGTTGTAGGCCTCGCTGCAGTCGACTTGGACCGGCCTGTTCAAGCAGCTAGGGCTATCGAAAAAGCGGTCAAAGAGGATGGCTTTGTCGGTAAGTCGCTCCTCTTGAGGTGCATTGTTATTGGTACCGATTCACAGGTGTTCGTATAATGCCATGGCTTTGGGATAGACCGCCGACCCACGAGACTTACTATCCTATTTACTTGAAGTGCGTCGAACTAGGAGTTCCCCTGTGTACACAGGTAGTGGCGAATACGCGGGTTCGATCCTCACATTAGACGTTTCTAATATAGTGGTTACACCCTGATGTCTTACTGGTTGTATCAGGTTGGTCATACAGGTCCAGCACGGCCCAGCGACACTGGTAGGCCGATACCATACATCGATAGAGTCGCTCTCCACTTCCCCGAGGTGGTAAAGATCCCGGGTTCGAATCTCATCGGCGACATCTTTTTTGGCAGCTACGTATTGTTTGTGGACATATTGGACATCCGTGGTTGAATGAGATGATGTCAGTGATGTGGAAACATGATAATATCTATCTTGACACGAGCGCATACCTCCCCAAGATGTATGGCAAAGATCTTCTAGCCTATATGTGTTCTAAGTCTGGTTCCAAGAAGGTGAGTGGTTGAAGTAATTTGTCTCGAACATTCATGCTTGATGCCCACAAGTCACAGATTGTCGCACTAATTGTAAATCACTACAGTGACATATTCCCCTCATGTTAGGTTATGTTTGGCACCAACTTCCCTCAGCTTGATTTAAAGAAGTGTATGCAGCAGGTGCACGAGCTAGGCTTACCGTCAGAGATCAAGGATCGTTTCCTAACCACCAACGCTCAGAGGGTCTTCAATTTGCCGCAACGCAGATTGGCAGAGGACAGAGGACAGAGCAAGTTGTGATTATTATGTCATGTGTATGTTCATTCGCCATTTTCAATGGCGGAGCGAAGCGTGGATTACTTTTTCTCGTGATCAGCGGCGTATTCTTATGAGGGGATGAGTGGACTGATGATGTTGTAGATCTGTTCATCTAACGCAGCTCTAATGTCCGGCGCCCCGGATCCCACACAGGGTCTCGGCGCCCTGTCTTCGGCGGCACAAGCAGATGTGACGTCGCCTCCTCCGTCTACTAGTGGACCTTCCTCGGCCGCTGCTATCGCTGCTGCAGCTGTGCTACTCCAGCAGCAACAACAACAACAGTCCAGCTATGCTCAAGGTGGGTTGACATCATCACCAGGTGGCGATGGGAAGAATGGCAGTGAAGAGGATGCTAGAGCGATGGATGAGGCTTTCATGAGATGTGAGGGGCTGGGGCTCTTCTATTGCGAACTTACTGGATTCGAGGAAACTGTTGGGCTCCTGTATATGTGGATATGCTATCGTTCAATGAATGAGCCTTGTGCTATTGAATATAAGCATGCACTTATTTCCAGAGTATCCATGACTTACTACTGGATAATGCCTAGCATACAGAACAGTATTGTATACATCTAAGGGTTTTGATTCGAGGGTTGCTCATAAGTAGTTTTCCGTCTTCAATTCTGGTGTCACTTTCGGGTTGGGAATACACGACTGCTAGTCACTCTCGATTCGGGTTAACTCATTGGGATTGGCATTGGTTTGGAATTCCTATATCTGAAGTAGCATTGACTGTCCCGCTCGGTTGAAGGCTCTTGTCCACCATTGACATCCTCTCAGCCCTTACTGTTACACCCGTGCCTCCCGGTGACTACACTGAAGAGGAGAATATCTTTTTGGTGGATCAGATGACAAAACATCGGTAGAGGAAAGAGGGCGGCGGTATCGTGCTCGCTTCGACTTAGTCGAATATCGTTGAATACTCCATTGATAGGGTACTCAGTCACAGTGAGCCGATGGGGTTTTCAGCCCTGTTGACGACGACGCTGCTATTGCTGGCTTTTGGAAAAGATTCGAGTTTTGGTGACTTTCTTCAGTGCCCAACTGAGAGGGAAATTCGAGGGTATGGTGAGGACTCGCAACAAGATCTATCAGATGATAGCAGCTGCGATGAACAGAAGATTTCCAAATGCTCAACCTAAAAGTGAGGCCGCCAGGGATCGAACCCGGGTGCATCTATTCATCTCGCTCATCGGTGTTGAATTAATCCAGCTTGATCTCTCCACAGGTACACTTGAAATCAAACGTCGAATAACCTGTTTGGTCGAACGTGTTCGTCGTGGTGGAGGGGACAAGTATCCGCCAGACCACTGGCACAATGTTCTCACTCGGGAGTACCTGAATTGGCATCCAACCTCAGTGCCGTCAAGTATTGACGGCAGTCCGGCTCGGGGGCGGACCTCGACCAGCCGAAGGAGAAGGAGCTCCCGTACGACTCGTGGTGGGTTATGATGGGGCAGTGGCGCTCGCCCAGATGATCGATTTTGCTGGCGTTTTTAGATTACAACTATGATTCGGAATCGACGTCTTCGGCAGAGCATGTATTGGACGGGTCTTGGGTGGACGGCAGAGGTCATGTCTCGCTCGAGAAGTTGCTCGATAAGAAATCTGAGTTGGAGATAGCCCTAAAGCAGGCGGAATTGGTGAAGGTGAGGCTTGAGAGAGAACTGTTGGCGATGGACACGAAGGACGCCTTGGCTGGGGTGCCTCCCGGTGCCGCAGCTGATGACTGTGGTGACGCGGCAGCTACTTAGGTGTCACCCTCGGCTCGTTGCATCTGTTTTGAACTCTATCCTGTGGTTGAGTTGAGTGTTCAGGGTCGATCTCATCTTCTTTTTTGAGGTGACCACCAGATGGGTAAAATTGTCAATGGTTGTTCGTTTGGTTTTTGTTATGTTGTGAAGGGCACATGTTAAAAATTATGATCGATCACGTTTTCTTCCGGGGAATGTTGAGAGGACAGCAGTGTAGTTTTTACACTCTAGTCGAGCTATGCACTTCACAGTGTTGGAGGAATATACGTTTGGTTTCCTCAGCTGAGCTCAGGGGTTTCCTCACTGAGGAGCGTACTCGTTTCGCTGGCGAATTCGAAAGATCACCGTTTCTCGAGGACGTCATATAAGAATGCGTGTAGAAGTGCACAGAAACCAGCAAGACTCTCCCAAAATTTCCTCAGAATTTTCACAACACATGTACTGGTGCCTCAGAACCCGCAGGGCTGATGGCTGTTCTTGCCACAGACCCGATTCTAAACGCAACAGGCAGGTGGGGAAGGCGGAAATCTTGTCTGCGCTCGACTGCTCCTCGAGATCCCTGTGCATGCGTATTGATCCGGGAAGCGATATCTCTGGCACTCAGACGGTAAACAGCACTGTGGGGCGCAAACTGAAGGTATGTGGCTATGTCGACTAACAATGTGAGGGAGGCCATTGTACAATAGAGTCGTTATTAACGCGCCTTATCGCGGACAATACATATGTGGGGGAGTTTATCATACATACACTCTAATGATCAAAGATTAGAGCATATTTGATTGAGTCTGAACAACCAGACTTGTACACCTTGTTGAGAATGGATAGAACGTATAAAGTTGTCTGGGCGTCATGCGTTGTGAAGAAGCCATATTGAAATTAGTAGTTCAATCGTAGTTCCTATCAACCGTATTATTTTCTGCTACTGCAGCAGTTTGAGCCATCCACAAATGCTAATTAGATTTTCACGGTTGTTCCTTATTCCTCATGTACTTGCGTGCTTGGCGAATATTCTCGCTCGCCCCTAATTGTACCGAGTGAAACGGTTATTAGGCTGTGGAGGTCGTGTATAAAGTATGTCATAGGGTGTTGGGATAAACAATGCTGATCTACACTCAAGAGCTGTAATCGAGGGATTTGGTAATTCATCTTACTTGGTTATGTTGTTGCCAACAACTTGTTGGTTAGCACACATCCCTACTATCGCAAGGTCTGTGAAGTGTAGATCTCTCTCCACTGATGCGAATGCTATGCATGAGATACTGATATACTTAGTTTAGTTTATGTACTATGTACGACGGCATTGTTCCCTGTGGACGCTTCTGGGATTGGTCTCTGTATACTCCAGCAGAATTTGCTGCTACTTATCATCGGGGTTTATCCCGATGGGAAAACTCGAAATTTATCTGCTGTCGTGGTGAACATGAATGGTGGAAATTCATCGTTTCTATTAGTATCAGATTTGTGTCTATGAGCAGCTTCCCTCATGAGGTCCCCACTCTTGTGTTGTTTCATATTCAGCAGCTGATTCTTCTTACGACTGAGCTTCGGGTTCATCAATAAGCTCTGTGCAGTGTTGGAATGTATATTCTCTTTCCTCAACCGAGTTCAGAAGTTTCCTCACCTGTTTACATTCGAATTCGGATAGACATTTACGGAAATGAAAGAAATTTCTTCAATTTTCCTCAGCATTTTCACAAATGCCATTTACACATGTAGTTGACCATGTACATATTTCCCCACACCGGCTCTGTGTTAATCGGCTGTGTGTTTCTGTTGTCGCTGAGACCTGGCGGAATCTGATCCTTGTGGGAGTTAGTTTTGTTTTGTCAATGTTTTCGGGACGGTGTCTGAGGACGCCATGTTATGTATGTCCTCTGACGACTCTGTGTCTTCTTGCATCTCTACCGTTGCTCGGTGCTCAACAATTGTTTACGGAATCTGGCTCGAAAATATTGGAGTTATCCGACACGGAATTCCACCGATTTGTGGCAACCGGTTGCAGTAAGCTGGTTCTCTTGTACGCACATTGGTGCGGTCATTGTGTCCAGTTTTCTCCCAAATATAAGGCTCTCGCAGAGGCCCTTGGGAACGATGCCTTCGATGAGGAAGGGCAGTCGAGGTTAGCTGCTGTTGACTGCCCGACCTATCCGGCTCTGTGTCGATCTTTGCATGTGCAGGGGTTTCCGACCTTGAAACACTTCAAGAACGGTACTGAAGTATCAACCTATGATCTTGCGGAAGATCTTGAGGGCTTCGCTCGCGGGAGTCTTGGCCTGTCTCCTGTGGTTGCGGTTCCCACTGATCAGTCTGCCTATCAGACCAAGTCGCCTTTACCCGAAGTTGACGAGTATAACTCAGTCGTGATGATGATGCACGGTGAGAGTATCTTCTCGAGGGAAGCCGGAGTCACTGCTGCGATGAGGCTCTTTGATGGCCGGCTTGCATTTGCTAATCTCTTGGAGACTGTGGTTCCGTTAAGTGGCAAAGGAACACTTTTTAGTGAGAAAATACGAGTATTGAGAGAAGAAATTTTGCCGGTGGTCACGGCTTCATATCCTGACCCAGCCTTTCGGCGAGTGAGTAAACGCATGCTTGACCTCATTAACACGTCGGCTGATGTTGACGAAGGAATTTGGCGTAGTGCACTTGACTTGCTCTTCTCGAAGGATTTACGATTGTACCCGGACAAGCACTGGAAACACTGCAGGAATCTCAACTGTGGCCTTTGGCAGTTCCTGCATGGTCTGACGCTGGGTGATTACGGAGCCGATCAAAGTGGTGGTGGATTTATGGCAACAGTTAGTGGTGGTAGAACGAACAGTGCTGTTATGGCCTGTATTAGAGCCATCGTCGCTGAGTTCTTCCAATGTGACCGCTGTCGAAAGCACTTCATTGAGGGCTATGACAAGTGTGTTGCTGGAAGGTGTGATATGGTCAACCCTGATAGAAAGCATACCGCGTTGTGGCTCTGGCGTTTCCATAATATGGTCAATGATAGGACTTCACGAGAGAAGGGCATCACAGGGAAGGACACGACGTGGCCTACTAAGGATGAATGCCCACAGTGCAGAACTGTCGGGGCTTTTGATGAAAATCAGGTGTACATTTTTCTGAGGGAATCTTACTTCGTCGGTGGCTCAGAACAGCAGGAAACTGCTGGAAACTTGCAGAGCAATTACGTCGAGGTGAGCTCCTACCGTAGACGTTCGAATGACTTACTCTATTCGGACTTGTTTGGGGAGTAATTAGCAGTATTGGAATATATCTATATGGTGATATGTGATATAAAACTATATGGTTTGTTCCCCTTAGCTGGGCTCAGGAGTTTTCTCGCTAATTATAGGAGTTCTCATACGAATTCGGGTAGGAGTGTTTAGGAATAAAAAATCCCTTGAAATTGTTTGATATTGTCATCGCCACGTGCATATTTTCCCAGATAGTTAGCATTGGCTGTAGGCTCAGGTATTCCCAGCTTCTGGTGTAGTGGCGTGCCTGGTACTATCAGTGATGATATGTGTTTGTTTGGTGATGAACAGGAGGAGAGCCCTCTTCCTGAAGTGGGGAGGCGTTTTTCACCGTCATTCATGAGACCTTCATTTATGGCACGCGCTGAATAATTTTGCTAAGAAGGTTTAGTCCAGTGGTCGACCCAATGGTTCACTTGTAAATTACTAGCATTTTGACTACTTATTATTATGAATGCTTTTTGGTATGATTAGTGTTTCCAGCATATGTCGATCGGGATCATCCTGTCTTGTTTCGTTTACCAACATGGCGTGGCGAATCTCTTCTGCGTTGGATTTTCCCTCGCAGGAGAAGAGCCGTTATTATCGGACGTCGTTGTCGTTGTCAGCCTTTGATAAGTGAACATCAGCCGATCATGGTATTGTTCCAAGCAGATTTGGTATTGAACATGCAAGACTGAGCTGGAGTCGTTGAAACTATACTGGAAATGATAAGTCGAAATTTTGTAATACACGCCAAGTTAGAGGATATCCAAGAGCACACTAAAGTTAGAGACAGTGCAGCATCGGGAGCCTTCTGAGGTGCTTCTTTTCAATCGGCCTTTTGCGTCTGGGTGCCTTGACCGTGATATATAGTAGAGAATGATCAATGACATTCTGCCATAGTACGACTGTGGCTGAAGACCCAAAAAAAGGCACGGAAATGGCGACAACAACAGATGAGGTCAAGCATGACACAAGGGTGAGATAAGAGTAGTGAGATATGCTCTCTGAGTAGCAACTGACTGATTTCGCGTTGGAGCGGTAAGTTCAAGCCTAGCGAGTATCTCTGTTCAGGTGGCGGACCGGGTCTTCATGTGTCTTGGTGTCTTTGATTGTCGACCACTAGCAGGGGGTTCTTGTTCGCTTGGCATAAGTCGAACCACTGGCGGTAGGTGGAGCCAGTGTGGGAAATGTGCACATGGTCAACTACGTGTGTTGGTGACGATATGAAAATTCTGGGAGTTCTCATTGGATTATGTATACTTCTATCCGAATTCGTACGTAAATTCCTATGATTAGACCTCAGCGGAAGAAAGCGAACATATATATTCCAAAACTTAGTGGAGCAGTCTCCGATGGTGCCAATCGGAGATTTTGAATAGTTGCATTCTCCTTCATCAGAGAAATGTGTGACGATGAGAAGGCCACAATCGACAACGTTAAAGCCCCGCACTTACGCATTAGATGATATCATCTTCATGGAGGATGATGTCGGTGACTCTCAACGAGCAAGTGAGTCAGTTTTCGCATCACAAGCCGTACTTGGCCTTGAACCCAACGAATGAGTGACCAGTCTTGGCCACAGTTTTTTAGCGCGAAATTTATCACTTATAGTTCCATATTTGAGTATATATGGATTGTGCCTCTAACGGTCAGGAATCCTGACTCGGGATACATCGGGTTCAGTTTGTTACGTTCTCCCCCGTGTTTCCAAACTGATGTGTATCCTGTCCGATATCACACCTTTGTCCTGAGCGATGAATCTAGCTCTCTCATCGTCACAAGGGAAAGAGTGTGAGGGCCCAGGACGGTTGACTAAGTGCCCCGCTCGTGCTTGTTTCATCACTCGATATTTTACACAACCACCGTACGCCAATAGCCGCTACCAGCGGCGGATGAGACAGTGGAATACAACCTTGCGATTACACCAGTGATTCGAATTGCTAAAGCCCGACAGCTCGTCGTGCGTGAGCACTAGAAGCCTCTCGAGTGTCAGCCTTGTCACTCAAGGGATTCTAGCTGCGATTCGATTGTGAATTTTGTGCGAAGCTATCGCCTCGCCTTGGAATTAAGAAGTTGATTGCGTCACGCCGTCTCTCATCCAGAGATTGTTGTGAATCTCATCCTCTCACCTTGCCTGATCTCTGTGTGGCCGTGAGAGGGTTGTGATCAGGATTGCCTCCATCGCTTCAGCAAGTGATAGAAAACGCAGTTGATCGAGGCGGAGAAGTCACAATAGTTTACACAGGTCTTCGAGGCAGTCCGGGAGGTTCCCTCCAAATGTGGGGGTCCTCTCGCGACAAACAACCAGGCATTATAGCGTAAGGTCAGTGTTGGCGTTGGGTCGCTCACTGCGTGTTCAAGGTTGTGTTGTCGAATGGCGTTAGCGGCCGCTAAAAAGGACTCATCAATGCAGCGCACGGAAATGAGGATCGTCAAAGCTGGTATCCACAGACCATCGAGACGCGCGAAAGATATGAAAACTAGAAACAAGTTCATTGCGGAAGAAAATCTCATCGAAAAATGGACGGATAATCTCCCAGCAGTTATCCTGATCCGTTTCTCATCGAATTCACACCACACTTGATTATCCGTGGTCGAAGTCATGGGATGCAGTTGGCTCCGACTGCTCCTACTATTATCATGGTATACCTATGGCAGGTGTACGAACGGAGTTGCTGGCTGACTGCCTCGTGTCACCAGACTTCAACACCTCGCTCCGCGTTCGAGATGAGGGACCATTTGACGGTTTCATTCTTGAGGGAGACGTGAGCTCGGAGGTCATATACTCCGAGATGGACATTGAAGTGAGGCAGAATTGTTGGCCCTCGTGGGAAATGAATTGTCATGTGGTCCAGTGTGCTGGCCTCCTTACCTTGTCCAGTGACTTCACTCTCCTGTCGGCTTGTACTAATGATCTTGCGAGGCGACGCAACAACTGTCTCCTTAGTAGTCGAGAATACCTTTAGATTTTCATAACGCTTGCCGCACTGAATAGAATAGTCAAACCTCCTCTAAGTGATAGGCAATCGGAATCGATATCTATCCGCCAGACTGTGTTACAACCAATACGCCTATGGGAACGAGAGTGGAGGTGCCGCGTATCTTAAACGCTGACTTGGGGTTTCATGCATGTACCCTGATAGCCATGCGGTAGTCGTTGATGACTTAACCTCATGAATCATGAGGTTAAGTGGCAATCTCCAGCACTAATAGTGGGGTGGGCAAATCCCGACCGGGATTCCGTCCCGACTGCCGGGACCGGCCCGGAACCGGGGTTCGGGCCGGGATAGCGAGAAACCCATCCCGGCTAGTAGACCGGAATCCGGGGACCCGGACCCCGTCATCCCGACCGGATAACCTGACCCCGCTTCTTATGGAGTGCAGGGCCTAGCCCCTAAGCCTAGCGACAGCCCTCTGGTGCTACTAGCAGCAACGGGGCCATATCAAGTCGGCGATTCCGACTTTCCGGCCGGAAAACCGGAAATCACGTCGGGACAGGAGGCTAATTCACTAAGCCGGGGTATTGGTCGGGCGGGACGGGGCGGTCAATTGTAAGCCACCCGGACTGCGGGTCGGCCGGGATCAGCCCAGAGGCAAATGCCCATGATAGCATCAGCTGCACTATGAAGCTATCCCAATGATCGTCTGTGCGTCGTGTAGGATGTAGTGTTCCGGGCTCGACAAAACGTGCAAAGTGCGGGAACATTCTTGTCCGGAGGCACGAGGAAGAATGACGCCCGATCGCATTCACTAGCGACATTTACTTTGCTGTACTATGCCGTAACTCGGAATTCGCCCCTTTGATCGTCCCTTATAGGTTTGGGGATGGTCAGAGGGATCACCGTATGTGCAAATTGCACTTCCTAGACTTGGCTGGCTCCGAGCACGGCAGGGGTAGCTTAGCTATCGGATAGTAACAGCTATCATCTCTGTAGTTTCCTCCATCACTGGTGGTCAATCGCGTCGGACCCATGGTGAGGCCGTAGATGTCACTATCGGTGGAAATAACCGTTCCAGGAGGCAATGACGCCAGACGAGACGACTTCACCTTGAAGGCATTCCATAAAATTATCACAGTGTTGTCCTCTGAGTTACGCGGCAACTCCAAGAACAACAGAGTCGTTGCTGGTTGGAGGGACTCCAAGTTGACGAAGCTTTGCCAGGCTGGTCTAGGGTGTGGGGGTAAGCATCGTTACGGACGGATGGAGCTCATCATCATCAGCTTGATAGGTCAAGCTGTTGTCCTGGTACCTCTATCGGGCAGCCCGGATGACTTTGGGGAGACGTCCGCGACTCTTGAGTTCGCACAGAAAATCCGACTGTGTCGAGGGGTGCCTTCTCGCATAGACAATAGGGTCTACTGCTGCTCCCCAAGGAAGTGTATGAACGAGCTTAGTTGCGAGATAAAGCAGTTGGCGTTTGACGCGGACATGCGCATTTCGAAGGAACTGAAGAGCACTGATGTCACCGTTACCATGCTGGGCTCACCATCTGAGTTCCTGCGTGACAAACTGCAGGAGCGGGAGCTCTTCTCTCGATTCATGATAGAAGTTCATAGAACATGACACGTGTTGAGATAGTTGTGTGTCCAGCGCCTGTCCTTACTCCTGTTGTGCAATTTAATCACAGTGTTCGAAAATATGTTCGCTTTCGTCAGCTGAGTCCACTAGTTTCCTCACCAATTATTGAAGTTTACTTACGAATTTGTGTAGCAGTGTACAGGAACCAATAAGAATTCCTTGGAATTTCCTTGAAAGTTCCATATTGTCCGCAACACTCACCGTTGACCATGTGCATATTTTCCCACACTGCTCAATCGCTCCTCATTCACGCATTACCGCTCCTGTTACCAGTGACATACTTGAGAGATTCCTTGAAATTCATGCCAGGCAAGCTCAGTTGGCTCAGAGTCGGGTCTGTGAGCCGCGGATTCGGCCCTTGGTGAAACTGGCAGTCACGGAATGATTCCGTCGGAGTCTGTAAATGGCGTTTTCTTCTGCTTCTCCGCTCAGTGTCGGAGTAGACTTCTCGAGTACTCTTATGGGAGGAGAACGTCTACTGGTCAGATATGAAGCCTGGCGAGATACGAGCTCCCGAGTCAATCCAAAGGTCACAACAGACGAGTCCCCCTCTAGCTAGGATGGCGCTGTCATGCTAGTCGGGAGAGTTAGTAGACATGGGACTCAACAGATGAGGAAGGTGTCTCAAATCCATACATTTCATGTTGGAATCGTCTCGTCTCGAGCACAGCGGAGCGAAGTGTTCCACGATGTGCACCAGGAGCCTCAGCCTCTTGTCCAGTAGAGTTCATTGGAAAGCATATCGCTGAGGAGCTGACTCGATCCGACACGCATAGGATTGTTAACTGCTACTAGTGTATGTATTATGGTTGTATCTTTCTGACAAGCTTGAGATTTTCAACGCCGATAATTTCACGTCTTCAATGAAAAGGCCGAGTCGACATGTTCAACACATACGAGAGACTGACAACACCGTCAGTTTGTGAGTGCTGGTTTCCAGTGTGAATTTGATGAGCTCCGTGAATGATGATTTTGGGGAGGATTGTTCAGCGGGCCGATAAAAAAAATGTCAAGCGGGGTTTAGAGTACGATGATCCGTCGGGAGTGCTCTTCCATCGTTAGTGTCGCGAGTCTACAGGAACGTTGCGCCCGAGCAGAAAGCTGACTCGGAGACGCCCCGTGGCCGATCTGGCTAGAATTGTGTCGGAATGTTCTCTTAGGATACCTTTGTGTGCACCTGTTGTCTTAGTAACTGTATGTATGATTCTTTGAGTTCTCGCACGCCCTCCGGAGCGATGTAACGGTAGATGTGAAGAGTACTGTTGACGATGGGGCTGAAGATGATGGGGATCATACATTGCTACGTCATAGACGATGGTAGGAAGGACTTGGGAGGCTTTACTGTCAGGTCCTCCTTGTCGTTGCCGCTAGTGTAACTAGGGAGGCTGCATTACTCGTGACTATCATAGTGTGCAGAAACTCCGTATGTGATTTCGCAGTGGTTGAGATAACTCCATAGTAAGGAAATTGAGTGCGGATTTTCGTATACGACAATTTTCGTAGTTTACGAGTAGCACGCTGGTACTAGCTCAGTACTGCTAGTTTCACCGTTAATTACTTTTGCATTACTATCGATTGTTTTGGTCAGTTTGTGGTGAAGCTAGTCCAGTAAATGTTGTTTTAAATGCAATGTATGCATAGTATCTACCGCTGATGGTGACACGGCGATAGCGCATTGGTCATTTCCTTCGTGTCAGATCCATAGGAGGGAACAGGCGTATTACACTTTGCGGTAGGCTAGCAGTAGTCGTCGTGCGTTGTGGAGGACTCATCTTCGAGAGACGTGTGCTGTGCTGCTGATTCTTTGCTGTAGTTGTGGTTGTCTCCATTCATGCTTCATCAGAGATATGGTGTAAGAGCTTGTAATTCGAGCTGTTCTGTTCAGCCTGGAGTTGGATAAGGTTTTGTGTGCACCTTCTTGATATCATGTCATTGTTCGTTGAACCTTTGTAATTGTTGCAGTCTGTTGTTGTCTTGTCCTCTAAATCGCCAAAGTATGTCCACTGATACTTACGTCGGCGACATTCACATCGTAGATGGTCCTGATGATCTCTACGAATTCTGCAGGAATATCTTGTGGGCATGTGGCCGCTCTTCATCATTCGTCTACCCTCTCTTAACAGGTTCAGAGAGCCTTTGGGTTTGGACTTCGAGTGGAACAGAGAATTCAAAGGACAGAACAACCCGATTGCTTTGGTAGGCACCTCTCATTGTCAATGACGTTCCATTGTGACTTCTATCAGATTCAAGTCGCCACTCCCACCAATGGAGTTTTACTTTTCCGTTGTAGACCTGGCGAGGATCTCCATCCTATACTTCGCGATGCTCTCACATGCCCCGTGAGTGATCGTCTTTGAGTGCAATTCGTAGCCATAACTGTATATTCAGAACACCGTCAAAGTTGTCTGTGGTTTCGATAGTCGCGATAAGAAGAAATTAATGGAGAGTTTTGGCATTGAAATTCCCCCACGATCTCTCGTTGACGTGTCTAAAGAGGCTCAGAGACAAGGGATGCACAAGACTGGGTTGAAGGCTATTTGCCGCGACCTTCAGTTCAACATTTTCAAACCTACGTGAGTTACCATGCTCTTGTATAGTCGTCGTATCACAGGTGGTCTACCCTTCATCAGTTACCCGAATTTCCATCAGTGGAGTGGACGTCTGAGGAAGAGTCAAATTCGTTATGCTGCGGCTGATGCCTGGTTTCCTCTGCTGATTGCTGTCGAATGGGGACTCATTGATATTGATGTATGTCTTGGACGAATCAGACCTAGCGAGTGTGTCGCTCCTTGATAACGCATTCACAGTAATGATGAATTCTCCATCATAGAGTTAGTTTTATCAGTATTTGCAAACGGTTAATTCATGTATGCTGTGTGCCCGAGTTATTCATCATTTTCTTCAGGAGAGCGTTCAAGAGCAGATGCTCGATTTGGTTGACTCCTATGCAACCGTGTAGTTGCTCCAAGCTTCGCACTACTACCTCCTTCTGACGATCGTAAGTGAGCTTTGCGATATGCATCTCAGAGGTGTCTGCTGTTTCTGCGTGCGAGTCTGAGGGAAATAATGCTGTTGAGCTGGACATGTTCTTACAGGTCATTGAGGGTTCCAAGTCGTGTGGGAGGAGTTTATAGAGTAGAGGGTGAAGGATATTGATTAAACTAAAAGACTCTTTTTTTGATTAAACTAGATTTACACGTAAATTGAAAGTGGCCTTTTGTTTATGAGTTAATCATTATCATATCGCACTTTCCACTTCCAACTTAGAAATTCCAAGGACTGGTTCAGTTCGCACTTCAGTTCATGGTGAAGCTAGTGTATAACGTGGTGTCTTGTAGAACGTCATTAAGCATCGTACTGAACTCGCAAGATGTCGATCTGACGTGTATCTGTCCCTTCACAGACGGGTTGAAGTAGTAACCTTCGCAAGTAACCTTCACCCGTGCATTCTGCTTCAACTCCAGTATGATAGGCAGACTGAATCGTAAAGAATGGCTGGGCTCAGTCATTTCGTCAGATTTCTGCATGAGCGTCTGTATGTCAGCTCTGTGTCCTATGCGTCTTCGCATTCCTCGCACATGTTAAAACTTGAAAAGAACACGTGATATTTTGTCTAACCGAATTTCCTCAGTCGGAACCGTCTTGCGTAAGAATATGATTCACGGAAGAATGTCGTCCCACAGCCAAACGCAACGCCAAATTCCCTTCTCCCAGCGATTGACGTTTTTCTGGGGCTTATGACGTCCATTCGAATTATAATTTGTCTTCTCCCTCAATGCCTCTGCTATGCTGATAATCGCTCTCTATGCTCGTGAAAGGGAATGGTCATGGTAAACGAAGCAGAACGAAGTTAACAGGGGAAAGAGCGGTATGCCATTCGAGTTAGGAAAGCCAATGACTGATCAGCTAGGACTTTCCCTCTGTCAAAAATCTGGTGCCATGCGACCTGTTCAGACCACCCCAAATTAACTCTTAAAAGATAGGAGTTCACTGTCAGTGAGCCGAACTCAAGATTAGATTGGCTCTGTACTGAAAGACTGATGAAGATACGAGACGTCCATAATATATACAATATGTACAATACGTTCAAACTTCGATAGCATCGTTCCGCTCATGCCCTAGCGCTGTCGGCATCTTACTCGGAATACCTTCATCGTCGACATGCTCGTCCCCCTCTTGGTCCACCTCAGCCTCGTCATCTCCCATCATCCATTGATCATCGACATAATAGTAACCCTCCTCTCCATGCAAGGGGACCCCCTCCTCATTGTACTCTCCTTCCCAATACATAGCGGAATGATCCCATACGGGCGTCTCCATATAAAAGCTGTTGCTCGATCCAGTATCAGTCGATAGACCTGTCAGTTGACCGCAGCCAGCGCTACCCGGACAGAACTCGGGGGCATCTGCGTTGAACTCAGCATGAGGGTAATAGGCAGCCGCCTTGGGCGTAGTGTAAGGATCGTATAAAGTGTCGGGACATGTGATATCCTCGTTGGATGATGGTGTCATCATCATTGAACCAACGGCGTTCTCCATACCAGTGCACAGCCGCCAGTGAGAGGCACCGCTCCCTGAATAGCAACACCGTCATCAGATTAGTCGCGACCCGGCAAGTCCAAGAATGACTAAGATTCCTCTGATGACAAGTTCGGATACACAATTCGATACGATCACGACCACTGCTGGAAAAACCCAGGGAAGTGCTACCAAGCTTTCTCATGTTGTGATTTATAGCTCCTCTGTGGTCCCTATACTCCACCTCAACCGTTTCTTGCATGTCCTCAGGGGCGATGGAACGTAGCTCCCAGTCTATGACCTATTCGAACGTCACTGCAATTACTGCCATTATTACGAAGCCTACCTCGAACAACTCGGGGTCAACCATAGTGTTCCAGAGAGCTATGGAATTGCCCCTGGGTCGAACTGATAGTACAATACCGTTCTGAAGGCAACAACAATCAGTGACAATTTCCTGTATCAAATCGTGTCACCATCTTCTGAGGAGCCGTGAATAGATTTCCCAATAAGGCCAGGACACACGTGGAGTAGTACTCCTTACTATCCGATCGACAGAGGCCTTTAACAACCCAGCGGCCACCCTCCCTGAATGAGGAGGAAAGGATGCCTCCTGACACAGCTGCGTGTTGCGTTCGTACTGATTGTGTTCGTCCTCCCATGCGGGCTGGATACCATTCTTAAAAACAGATATAGTGCTGAACTTAGGCAACTTCATGAGGTCGATGGAGTTCCAGAACTGCCAGAACCCCTCAACAGTGTCAACATCACCTAAGATCCCCAATAAAGATGTGTCTTGACAGGGCAGACGACAGTGTGGCCTACCCAGACGTATAAGGCCCCGAGTATACTCCTCGGAATCTCGCGGTCCAGCTGGCTTGCATGAAGCGCCGCCGCCGCTCACCCCAGGATCGTACCTAACCCAGACCCGTCTATGAGACAATTATCGCCCGATTCGAGAACTACCAAATCGTAAAAGTGTCGAACAGTGGAGTTCCTTCCTTTGCCTTTTCTTCAACTACTTCAACCTTGGCCGCCTCCTCCTCAACTACCTCAGTTGCTTTTTCAGTATCACCTACAATATGTCCATCCGATAGGGGATAATTCGATACCGCACCTCCCGCAACAACAGGAGTCTCCTGTCGAGGCGTTGGTTCATTGTCAGTATTAATCTTATTCTCGCCATTAGTAGCGTTGTCACGAGCGACTTGCTCATCTATTCCTCCTGCCCCTTGCTGAACCTGCGTTGAGCATCACAGCGCACCCGCCACATTCAAGCCTACTTGACGGCCTCGTCTCCGCCTCCTATTCTTCAACACACTCACCGGTGCATGGTGAGTCTCATTTGCTGTGTCACCAACTTCTTGTGCGGGAATACCATTAGCTTTGTCGACCGCATGCTTTGACCGTGACTTCTGTTTAGCCTGTAATAAGCATATCTCTACATAGCATGAAAAGGGAGCAGACCTTGAGTAGCTCCACTGCCTCCCTAGCCGCCGCGTTACCGCTTGTAGAGCCAAGCCATGGTGGAGGCATGTTGTAGGCACCAACAGTTGATGACGAAGAATCGGGATCCTTACGACTACTGAAGTCGAGGAGAAGGAGAAGTGAGCAGTTATTGTGGTGAGTGGAGACTTACTATTGCAGTACAGGAGATGGTTCCGCCTCAGAGTCGCTTCGAACACAGCTCCACAAGAGGTATCTAACACGGCATTCTCATTCACTGTTCAGCGTGAGTGCCACGACCACCTGCTCTGAGGACATAGTGGTGGGCTAGCGCTGATGCCGGAGCGTCTGCGGGGGCGACTTGAACTACGGCCTAGGCAGGACCGAGATGAGTAGGCAGAGGTGTAGTATGGCAAGTAGTACTCCTTTCACGTCTGGCAGCGGCCTCTTTGATTTGAGGTTCAGTGGCTTCATCGTCCGCTTCGAACTCGACTATAACGGAATCAGGCAGAATCTATAAGATACCAAACTGGTGACCGAAGAGAAGACGGACAGAGCCTTAGCTTACAAACTGGCCATCTATAATATCCGGATCTGCTCCTGCTTCTTCGGCTCTGCTGTTATTACTACTACTACTGTTCTTACCATCCTGTTGTTCCTCCTCAGCATCATCAGTAGTAGTAGAGGGAGAGCGGATGGACGTGGTGACCACAGCTGCTGCCATACACTGGACAGGTACTGATCCAAACAACTACTATTGGCACCATATTCTAGTACTACAACGCAGTGCTCGATGAGGGAGAAGCAATAAGGTTATACTACTGCTAGAAACCATTTAATTCGATCACTACTACGGTATGTATTGTTCTGTTCGGGCGAGCGCGTTGTAGACGAAACGCATAACGATACCAGCATGGAATCTTGGGAAGTAATAAATCCTAACCCAGTGAGGTACAGGAGCCTCCTCAGAGAAGGTATGTGAGCACGAGCGACGCTCTAGTAAATGTTGTAGAGATCGATCTGCTACAAGAAGGAAGCACCGGAGTTATGATATAAAAGCCGCCCTCCCCTCAGAATGTGTATACAGATTGAAACAGTCCTTAATTACGAGCAATACATGAAGGCTGCGGCCATCGACTCGATTCCTTCACTCCTCTTGGCCTTCATCCCTCAGCGAGTGTTTAGAACGGCTCCAGAATGTGTATACGGAGTATTTGAACTGATGTTGTGTTTGAAGTAGCAGAGACATCCGGAGAGGCCGACTCTGGAGGGTCGTGTATATCCTATACTTTGGCTACATCTGAGATCGGGTAGAAAGATTCACAATAAGCCCACTTTTGAACCACCCTGCAAAGGCACATAATATGACCGCATTATGACAGCAAGTAGATGATATTTCTTCCTATCAGAATTCAATGATATTATTGACTTCCACACGTCTTTGTTGACCACGGAGAATCGAAATGGTCATTATCGTTAATGTACGTTTTCCATCGGGAAAGCGCTAAGTTCTGCATCGCTCCGCTAAGATCTGTCACTTTCCTGCAATAATTAGTGATATTTCCTGCATTTCTCCACCGCGCGCGCCCTATCGAATTCCTGTGTGCAGAGCAGGAGAGTCGAGTATATAATGCCCAAGGCCTATCTTAAATACAAAGGGGAGGGTACACTAGGAGCTATCATTAGCCAACGAGGTAATACGGGGGAGGCTTCTACTACGGGCAATCTGGGATGCGGGGGGCTGGGTCGCGTCGTATAGCTGATTTTGGTATTCGAAAACTAACCCTTTTTCGAATAATATCAAAATTGTTTTCGAATTTTATTATTGCCATTTGGTAATTGTCGTAGTTGTTGTCGGGCTAGCTCCAGTGGAAGCTGTGTACCTTTTCGTGTACTTCCGCAGTAGAGGACTCTCTTTGTTTTCACTGGAACTCATAGGTTTCGCTATTATGAATTTTATAATACGCTTAGACTAGCAGTAAGGGGCAAAACGAGTTAGCAGTTGGAAAGTCCTCCTACTCTCCCTAGATTCAATCTGATTGATATTTCATTATCAACTTTCAAGATTGTGATAAATACCATCATTACTTGTAGTTGTCTCAGGCAATGTAGTGCTAACCAGTGGCAATCCCAGTACCTCATCATCCTCCCAAGCTGCAACCCCTCGATATGCTTTCTGTCCTACCAACGATACTGTTACTGTATGGGACATCAAGACTCAGACCATAAAGGGTGTTATGGAGGTCCCCTTGGGACGAGATGAACTCCACAAGAGATCACCTCAAGTACACTCCCTACATTGTGTTTCAAATACCTCATACCACACCTCAGGTAACTGCATTATCCGATCTGTTCATACCAAGTACTACAGCCAATGGCTGGGCTGGCGCTAAGATGGCTGTTGGATATAGTGATGGTAGTAGTAGTACTACTACTATGTAGTTACTTTGGACTGTTGTTCACGTTTTGATGGTATAGGTTACATTCGAATATTTGCATTCGAGGAGAGCAAGCCAGGGTCTGTGGAAGGCATGTGGGTGCCTGAAGTATCCTTTATAGGACATCGATCGGCTGTTAATGTCCTCAAGATCTCCCGAGGTGGCTTCCAACTCTGTAAGTGATGGCCTTCTGTGGTGGTGGAGGTATATAGTGGATGTTGTTCATTCCACCCTAGTATATGTTTCAACGCTGGTCATAGCGCTAAAGGCCATAATATATGTGTGTTCCTATAGGTAGCGGTGGAGCTGATAATGACGTCATTTTATGGGATGTAGTGGCAGAGGCTGGTATGTGCCGACTTAGTGGTCATAAGGATCAAGTCACTGGCCTGGTAGTAATAGTAGTAGGATACGAAATATGTGGAAAAGTTTTCTGTAGACACTACTGTATGATAACGAGTCTACCGATGCATCTATAGCATATGTAGTGAGTGTATCGAAGGATACTACCTGCAAGGTGTGGAGTGTGGGAACACAGATATGTGTTCAGACATGTAATGCTGCATTGTAGTGGCTTATGTAATATTCATTTCATACCATCAGGTGCTGAATCTCGAGGGGAGTTATGGTCAGTCGCATGTATGGTGATGTCATCGACGACAGCTGTTGATGTGGGCAGCTCTGCGAACAAGACTGTGCTCATAGTCACTGGTGGAGTTGATCAGAAGCTTTATATGTAATAGTTGAGGGAGGTGTGGTATAAGGATTTGGGACGAAGCAGAGAGTGTAAATCTTCTTGAGTGATTACAGGAGGCTAGGGAGGGGGTATATGTAGGATAAAATAGTGCTTGAATGGAAGCGTTCAATATTGATCGGTCGTTGTTGTGGTAAGCAGTAATGGAGGAATGTTTGCTTCCCTCAGCTGAGCTCAGGAGTTTTCTCATCACATTATCACAAGTTACTAGTAGGCTTTAGTAGAAGTAAACAAGACTCAACAAAATTTCCAAAGTGTTTAGCCGAATTGTCACCAACAAACGTAGTTGACCATGTTCATATGCTCTCTTCCCTAGGTACGCGGTGTCAGCCTTGTCACTGGTGTCTGGTGGAGGGCTGGACGCTAGTGGAGATATGATGAAGTTCCTTGGTCCTCTGGACAGGGGTAGTGGTGAATCTGGCATGAAGAAACGTGTTGGTAGGAGTAGTAGTGGAGTGGTTCAACAAGAGCTGTTATCATCAGCTACACTGGCATTTGCTGAAGACGGCACCAGACTGCTGGCTCAGGCGGTTGGTAGGACTGTGGAGGTGTTCGATGCGGTAGTAGTAGTAGGCAGAGGTGTGGTATGGGATTAGGAGTGATATGATAGATCACTGAGAAGGCTCGTAAGAGGGTACAGCGACGTAAACGTGAGAAAGCAGCTAAGAAGCAGAAGGCGGCGAAGGAAGGTAGGAAGGTTGTGTGGCGTTGTAGGATTGGACGGAGGTGTGGTATGACAGGTGGCGTGGAGGAGCCACAACAGGAGGGGGAGGAGGGCACTACTGAGAAGGTCATGACTGCAGCTGAGCTGTTCAAACTGCGCGATAAGGTGGAGTTGGTAGGAGTTGCCTGACGTCGCTCATGTGCTCTCTAGCTGATACATTTCCCTGGCAAGATCGGCTCGATGTCTGTGTGTAAGGACTCAGTTTGTGTTGGCCTGCTGGATAACTCTATCCACTTGGTAGCAACGATGATAGTAGTGTGGAGTAGGAAGGTGCTGCTTGGTGGTAGATACCATCGCTTACGGTGGAGCTGCAGAGGTCGGGCCAGGATGATGAGGAAAGTGTCGAGGCTGCCGAGAAGGAGCGTATGAGTATCGTAACGAAGGGTCATCGTCAAGCTGTGCGGTAATAATGATAATGTGTTATATGGAGGGGGAGGAGGTCTTGTATTTAGGTTTGTATCCTTCTCAGCGGATAGCACAATGTTGTTGTCATGCTCGGGAGAGTCGTTGAGGGTATGGACTGCTCAGAGTAGCAAGCAGTGTGTGAGGCATATAGACAATACAGGCTACAGTAAGGCGGCTTGGATCAAGTTTGGCTCGATTATGTTGTTGTTGTTTTTGATCAGTTCTATGTGGTCGTTGGTATGCTGGTAACCAGCATGTGGTGTGTGGAAGTAAAGATGGTTGTCTAGCACTGTACGACTTACAGACAGGGGAATGTAGATGTCGGGTAGTAGTAGTATATGGTTGTGGTAGAGTCAGTTGGTGAGTATGGCCAACGCCTCCTGTTATGTAGGTACTCGCCTCAGAGGGAGGACAGCCTCTGTATGGCATTTGTGATGATCCTGATGGGGAAGGTGGTAAATGGGGTCGCTGGAAATGTGTTAGACTCCTGTGCGAGCGTTCGGGTGTGAATGTTTCATCAGAGTATCCCAGCTCGCTGAGAGCGCTCTATAATGACTCTGTCATCTTGTAGTAGTTATATGATAGTGTTATTAGCTTAGAATTTCTGGTTAATATAACTGTGATGTAGAGAGCTCGGGTTCATGCCATAGTACTACTACTACAGCAGTGCAAGAGTAGTACTATTCTAGTAGTAGTCGGCAATCCATGTGTTATGGCACGTTGAGTTCTTCGAGCTGCATCTCTCACTCCTGATCAGATAACTTTATCACAGTTGGTGCCGATAAGACGTTACGCTACTACACCACTGACTTGGCTAATGTTGATGACGAGTCATCTATACTAATAGAGGTAATAAGTTTGGTATGTCCGTCCGTTCGGGGGATAGTTGCCGTTCCAGGATGAGTCTAAACGCTTGACATTGAATGATGATGGCCTTTGTGTTGCGCTGTCTCCTAAGGATAAGAAGAAACCTGATGCTCCCAGGTAGTAGTATTATTACGGAAAATTTTACCCATTGTAAAACGTTGGGAGTATTAGGTTCTTGGCTATCGGCTTGCTTGACTCTACTATTACTGTTGTTTATGCTGATACTGGGAAGCAGTTCCTCACTTTGTATGGTCATCAACTACCTGTAAGGAACTCAGTGGGTTCATACGCTTTGTAGTGTTCAAACCGGTAGGTGCTCGCGGTTGCCTTTTCTGATGATGGACAACTCCTGGCCTCGGGTTCGGCTGATAAGAATATCAAATTATGGCATCCTAAATTCGGTAAGCATTGAGAAAAGGTTGAAAATAATAACAATTATTTCCTTTAGGTAATTGTCTTCATTCCCTCCGAGCTCATGAGTCGTCGGTGACCAGCATTGCATGGTTACCGCAGACACACTACTTGGCCAGTGTGGGCAAGGTCGATGGTCTGTTGAAACTGTGGGATTGTGATAGGTAGTAGTAGTAGTAGTAGTAGTAGTAGTAGTAGTAGTAGTAGTAGTAGTAGTAGTAGTAGTGGTGGCTTGTATGTGGCTTACATGGGAGGGTTGTTCAGATCGGAGGAGATAACATCGCTACCTGGTCATAATGGTGATGTATGGTCAGTAGCATGTGATGCTGATGGTGCATTGTTGGCGACTGGAGGGGCTGATAGATGTATAAGGCTGTGGAAAAGGAGTGATGAACAGATGTTCATCGAGGAAGTAGTATATTATATAGTGTTTTCGTGAATACACAATTATACACGTCGCACGTGGTACAATATACAAGTCGCAAATGAAACCTTTGTTAACGTTGAGGTGTGAACCAGGCGTTAGACAATCTTATGTTCCCGATCATTTTAATTTCGGCACGAGGTTGTTTCTGGGGACCATGTATAATATGTTGAAATATATTTGGAAGTAGTAGTATTTTTCAAGTTGATCATTGCCTTGTATGAAATGTTGTTCCGCGTTGTTGTGGTAGAGCATTGGTAGTCCAGTTGATAAAACGTTGATGATGTCAGGAGCAAGAGGAAGCCCTTGATAGACAGCTAGAGGAGGAGACCGCTAGAGAGGCAGCCGTAGTGACTATGGCCAGGCCTACTAGACGTACTACACTAAGGCGTGCTTACCTAGAGGAGCATGGTGGTGCTGTAGGTACTATGGAAACGGTGAAGTCCGCAGAGCGCTTGATGGAGGCTCTAGATGAGGTTAGAGAGGCTTCGGCTGAGGAGGGTGATGCTGAGGAGAGGAAATCAAGTCCGCAAGAGTCTATCAAGGTGAGTGTGTTGATGTAGTTATCAATGCATTCACTGATGCTCAGACACTACGTATAATGGCAGCTATCCCCGTAGCGGACATGCAGGAAGTTGTACTCGCTTTACCTGTCACGTAATAGAAATGTTCTCTACTCATTTTATGGCAATTTAC